TACATAGGTGTCGTGTCAAATGTTCATATAATCATTTAAATAATATATATAGATGATGTCTTATACTCTGATTGCCTTTTACTCGTTTAAATCGTATTTTTTAGTCCTCAATGTGTTTAACAGAGACATATGTTTAGGATTTACATTTCAGGAAGGGCAAAAGGTGGATTTGCAAATGGTTAAGGACTGTGGGGTTTTATGCTTTAATGGTGGGGATGTTTAGACAATGCCTAAGAGAATTGATGGGTGAGACCAGTTGGCTATTTTCTCTACTATATAGTGTAAGCTGTGTTCGGGGTGCAACGCCATTTTATCCTTTGAGGATGAATTTGCTCTGTTCCTGGGTTTGAGATCGATTTCAATTGTATATAAACTTTCTCTATTACTTTATTAAATATAGCAAAAGACAAACTTTGTCCATGAATCATTTATCAGTTTCTCTTAAGGGAATTAGAATTTCCTCCACAATAGGGACTTTAAATGAACGTTTAAGAAAAACCTGAAAGTTGATAAGAACCTTTTCTGCTATGAAATGTGATTCGGACACTTTATCAAAGTTGTTTTGATTGTCTGCCACAGGTTGCGTGCTGGCTGTTGGACCCTGGCAGTGAGGAGAGGACTCTACCCAACATGGTGACGGTCTACTGTCCTGAAGAGTTGCCTCTGCTGGGCGGACTTGGAAACCCGCATGCACACGATCCTCGTGTTAGGGCAGCAACCAAGAGCGTGCTCGTACTCGCTGTCATGAACCATCTGACCGGCCTGCTAGAGAAAGACGGCATGCTTGGTATAAAGAGTATATATATATTGGACATCTTCAAGTCATCATTAAAAACTCACCTGTTCACCATGGCCTTTGACCCCTAACCCATCACAGTCCCCCTGCTTCCACTCCTACTGCTATTTATTTAATTTGTACTTTATTATTTGCCCCTTTTGTTTGTTTGTTTGTTTGTTCACCATGTAAAGGGGCCTTGGGTCCCTTGAAAGGCGCTATACAAATTGAATCTATTATTATTATTGTTATTATTATTAAACACTCTAACAGACATTCATACATTTCCAGAGTATAGATATAAGTGTGTAAAATATACGTAATTTAACCTTTTTTAATGTTTTTAAATGCTCGTGACAGACTTATTCAGAAGCATTGAGATGCCCTCGCAGGTGTCTTTGGCTCTGTTGGAGCTGAATGGAGTGGGCTTCAGTGTTGAAGAGTGTGAAAGGCAAAAGCATGTGATGCAAGCCAAACTCTCAGCGCTGGAGTCCCAGGCCTACAACCTGGCCGGACACAGCTTCTCCCTCACCAGCATCGACGACATAGCACAGGTCTGACCATTGTCCCAGCATAATACAGCAGAGTAAAACTTCCCATTTCCAAACGTATGTGTCCTCATATGCATGTGTGTACTATAGGTGTTGTTTTTAGAGCTGCACCTGCCTCCAAACGGTGACGTAGGTGGATCCAAAAGTAAGAAGACTCTTGGCTACACCAGGCGAGGCGGCGGCAGAGTACGACTTGGAAAACAGTTTAGCACCACCAAGGTGACACCTTTAAGTTATTACACTGTAACTGTTGTGTGAAGATCAGGTTATATTTGTGAGATAACGTGCCACTTTGTTTAAACCGAATTGTAATGGTTGGTAGGATGTTCTGGAGAAGCTTCGCCCTCTGCACCCGTTGCCAGGTGTGATCCTGGAGTGGAGGCGGATCACTAACGCCCTGACCAAGGTGGTGTTCCCCCTGCAGCGGGAGAAGCAGTACCACAACACACTGGCCATGGACAGAATATATCCCATCGCCCAGACACACACAGCCACAGGTAATACACATACACACACACAAACATTAAATGCGCCTGTGTGTGGACACACCTTAATGACATTGGTAATTTAATACTTTTGTTGGATACTGTTTTTATTTGAAGTAGAACTACAGCGTGCATTGACCAAGTTCATTCTGTTTTCAGGTAGAGTGAGCTTCACTGAGCCCAACATACAGAATGTCCCCAAAGACTTTGAGATTTCCATGCCCACGGTGGTGGGGGAGAGCCCACCTTCACAAGACGGCAAAACAGGGTAGGTGAACATCAATAAATCAATATTCAGTTTATATCTGATGCATATAAACAAAAAAACAAGATTATATTTTCCAAAGATTCATATTTCAATTTTAACGTTTATTTATGGATTGTGATGATACGCCTGGATTTGAGTCATCTATACACCTTCATTTGTTTTTCATATTTCTACAATCAGTCATATGGAAATCTCTGCAAAGACTATGACTTATAATACACCTATAACACTGCAATGCAAATCCCCCTTTGCTATGTTGGTTTGAGATAGGGTTTAAAAGTGAAATAAAACATTTACCAATTGATAAAGACAGACTTTAGGTATTTAAAGTGAACAAATAACATACTACATTATGTATGTGGGTGGGAATGGTTTGGAATTCCATGAGTAATCACCAAACTTGGCTGGAGTTACATTAAGGTTAATACTTTTGTCCAACTAATGCCCATACTGTTTTGATACAGAAAGAAAAGACGCTCTGCGGTGGCCTCAGAACAAGGCCCGGCCTTCTGTGTCAGCATGAGGCATGCCTTCGTTCCCTTTTCAGGTTACTATAATGATATAGTTGCTTTGTGTCACCTTTACTGTCTGCAACCTTGTCTCAGACTGCTCTACCAGCTGTGTCTCTCTGTACTGTGCTGTAGGTGGGATGATATTGGCAGCTGATTATTCTCAGCTGGAGTTGAGAGTGTTGGCTCACCTCTCTAAGGATCAACGCCTACTGCAAGTCAGTAAAAAGCAAGGAAACATCACATAACTAACATAAAAAAACATGTAAATTAAAATGAACCGTGGGCATTGGCAGGTGCTGAATGGAGGAGCAGACGTGTTTCGCTGCATCGCTGCCGAGTGGAAAAGCATTGACCCCGAGTCTGTGAACGACAACCTCCGACAACAGGCCAAACAGGTACAGCTAGGCAGGAGAGAGACGGTCACATGGACCCGCATGCATTCTCACGGCTGTTGTCTTTGCAGATTTGCTATGGCATTATCTATGGGATGGGAGCTAAGTCTTTGGGGGAGCAAATGGGAGTGGAGGAGAACGACGCGGCCTGCTACATCGAGAGTTTTAAGGCTCGATACAAAGGTATACACTGCTGTTTAATTGTCATTGTTATAAATTGTTTGTGCATTTTAATATTTTGCAGTTTGTCGCGGTAACAATCCTACAAAAATGAATTGTTCATTATGTAATCCCAAGCATTGTTTGCAGTTTTCTACATTTAGTACTTTTATAAAAGAGGGTATAATCATTAGAAATACAGAAGTACAGGGAACAGAAATGAAGTATCCATGCCTTGTCTTATGTTTCAGGGATCAATGCTTTTCTGAGAGAAACTGTGAAGAACTGTATAAAAAACGGCTATGTTCAGACACTGATGGGCCGCAGGAGGTACCTACCTGAGATCACTAACTCCAATGCGCACGTCAAAGGGCATGTAAGCACGTTCTTCACGGGAACTTTACATTGTTTATTTGTAAGATGGGCAATGTTTAATTAAAGTGTGATTATTTAATTGACTACATTACCGACCTGTGTCTTCAGGCAGAGCGTCAGGCAGTAAACACAACTGTGCAGGGTTCAGCAGCAGACATTGTGAAACTTGCCACCGTGAACATCCAGAAACGACTACGAAAAACATATCCTGCAGCTCCCCTCTCTCACCAGCACACACATTCAGGTGACTTAAATCTTATTTTCCCATTATGTATACTCGACATGCAAAAATAGATCTTACGAAGTCTGCAGATTAACCACGTTATATGATGTCTGTTATACAGCCAGCAGTAATCGCAGGGTGCGAACATCTCCACTCAGAGGAGCCTACTTTGTACTGCAGCTGCATGATGAGCTCATCTATGAAACCACAGAGGAAGACCTCATACAGGTAGGAACAGTAATATTTGGATTGTTAAATCATCAGTAGTGTTTGGTAAGTATTTTATAGTAGTTTAACAGGTTAGTTACAGTTGTATGTATGCATTGATAAGTCTCATTTCACTAAATAAAGAACAGGGCCCTGATATGATACAGCATGTTTGCAGTAAATGATTAGCCTGTGATGAAAGATAACAATTTGTTCGTTTTGAGTAATGTAGACTATATATAGAGAAACTGGAAAAGCCCATACATAAACATCATTCTTTGTATTTCTGTCAGGTTGCTCATATAGTGAAGAGGGAGATGGAGTCGGCAGTAAAACTGTACGTAAAGATGAAGGCCAAAGTCAAGGTGGGACCCAGCTGGGGCAACTTGCAGGACCTAGATATATAATGGAAATGTGTTTATGTTCGACTAACATGAAATACATTTTATAATATGTGTTGAAGCTATCATTTGTACAAAAATCTGTATTTTTAATCCCTAAGTTAACACACATGAAGATGAAAACATGCTTATGATGGCATATGAGCTCTAAATGAACTATTGAATGTATTTATGCTCTATCCAACAGTGTACAGTTATCAATTATATTTCTAGTATATAATTGTATTTACTGATATCCCAACATGAGATGATATGCAAGATGATATTTTATTTAATGTAATACATGACATGTTTGTGTTCATTTCTCTACTTTGAAAACATGTGGCTGCAACAACACTTATTTTCATGAATGAATAATGTGCTAGTGGTTTCTTTTGTGAATGGTTCACTTTATAAAATGTCAATTTTTAACAAAGGAACATAACACCTTCCCAGAGCTGTAAAGGTGAAGTGTATAAATGTATTGTTATTTTCCACAAATAGCCTAATATTCTGTGTGAAGCTGGAGAATGTTTTGCCTTTTTTTCACTACTTGGAAACAGATGATTGAAACTTTATAAAAGACAATCAACAAAATAGTTGAAGGTTTTTTTTCTGTGAAAAAAGTAATAGTTTTATATCTACTGTTACATATGTAAACAAAGACACAGAGCAGCTTTACTCTTGTGGACATCAAGAAATCTTATATTTTATTGGACCATTGGTTGAGTTGTCTGTCACAGGAACATACATCGTTGACATTGTTTTGTTTACACTTTCACTGCACAAGAAATGTTGTCGATATGATATGATATTTCCTGTGCAAAGTGAATTGCTGAACCTCTGGTTATGGGGAGAAAAATAAACGGGGCCAAATAATCATTTTGTGTCTTGGGACCGTCATTGTATTACATAATAGAAGTAAGACTCATTTTTGATACCCCTTTATTGACTTTTGTCCATTGTTGATTCACAATTACCATGACTCCACGGAGCTCATCAACACAGGCTCAGTTTGACACAAAAGTGACAAGAATTAGTAACAAGTAAATAAATACATGTCATGGACACACATCAATAAACAAATGCAGTTGTTTATCAAATAATGAATTAACACCACAGATTTGAACAGACATGTTTGTGTTTCTTTCAACAACAAATGTCTTTTAAAACAGTAGGAGTGTAATCCTGGATGGTTGAACAGATGTTTTGTGTCAGTCAAAACATTTTTTATTTCTGTGTGTGACAGCCATTGAACTCATGCCGTTAATCTAATGAAGAACATACTGTTTAACCAAATATGTTAAGTATTGTCAATGCAGTCGTTACCTAAGTATTTATCATGATAGGTTAGACTAGCAGCTACAATGAGTGGGTGGCTTTACATTGAAAGTAAAGCCCAACGGATTGAGGAGCGATTCAATAAAATTGCTGCTTTTCTAAATAGTTGGCACTTGTCAATAGCACAGTGACACATCCCTAAGAATTGATGTGCATCATGTGATAAAGCATGGTAAGATGCTGCCTGTGTGTTGCCCTGTAATGTTTTAGGTAATGCCCGTCCCCTGTGATATGAGGCAGTCAAGGTGATCATAAAAGAGAACAACCATCTGCAGACACAATGATAATCAGTATCTTTGGTGGTTTCACTGTTCTGACCTTTTGCACCTGGTAATTGTACATACATTATGATTTCTAGCCAATGAGAGGACAGAGGAAGAAGACGTGATGCCTACCAACTACAAATCCACATCCCTGCCCCTACAGTCCTATCACCACCCGCTTTAGGGCCTTGCAGACTAAAAACAGAAATTAGACAAATAGGGAGTATGCAAGTTTCTGTAAACATAGTTTTTAGTCAGACTCACTGCCACAAACAGAAACAAATGTTATGAATCAATTAAGGCATCCACACAGGCAGAGCTGTGCATTTCACCAGAGTAGAAAACAGAACAGAGAAAATATGTACACAGGTACAGTTAAGTGCTACTCAAGCAGCCTTGTGTGGGCTAGATCTCGGGCAAGAACAAATCTGGCTCCAGGACTGGCACTGTCTTGCTCCATTACGTACAGGGGGCTGGTGTTGGGCCAGGGGCTTTGCCCGTGTCAGAGAACATCCTGAGGGAAAGCTCTTGGCCATGGCCCAGGTTATTTAGGGTACAAGAATTGACATGAAATAAGGGAAGTAAGGACACAAGAGGTTTGAAGACGACATCCAGGAAGGTGTCAGGGTGTCTCTCCATTGCGGCTTAAGAAGTACCTGACGGGGGGGCCGGGGAGGTCATCGTCTCCGTCCGCCTCTGGAGCGAAGGACACGGTGAGGTCAACGTAGCGGCGGTCCACTGACGGCTTGATCAGCTTCTGCATTCTGAACAGAGGGAGAGGCAGGGTTAAGTGCATCTGTTGATTGGTTTTAAATGGTGATGAGTCTTTGTCCAGGAAACCTGCATCGATACAGATACACAAGCTAAAGTCCACAAAGTCATACATCTTCTGAAGCCATACAGAAAGAAAGACTAAAGTGACTTTGTCCAACAGACAGACTTCCTGTAGTTTTCAGAAGTTCTGTTTTTCACGGAAACACTTACGTAAGTTTGAGTCTCTTTGAGTGTCCAGGCATCACAGGCACATATAGCATCTTCACACCATGTACGACCATAGTGGGCTCCATTCCATACTTTTCCTGAAATGAAACATCAAAATCCTTGAAAAGCACAACGCAGCAGTAAGAAACTTCAGGGAAAATACGATGATGTGGTAACTGCATCTGAAGTAATAATAATAAACAAGTAGGATTAGTTAACAAGTGAATGGTGTCTCACCCTGACTGCATTCATGAACTCAGAGAGAGTGAAGTCCTCATGGCCAAAGATGGTCCAACAGTCCCAAATGGAGAAGTAAATGTTGTCCCTGGGAGAGAAGGCATGCAGCTGTCATTACACTATAACTGTTATAATGATGACATTTGGGGCAATTTAGCTGAGATTTCAATGAATAATAGTCGTGTGGTGAGAAAGACATCTGCAGTGTATGGTCAAAACACACATGCCATCATGCTAGGACAAAACGTTTAAGGATTTATCACTTTTAAGCAGTTTGAGACAGTGTGCGTTTGCCTTTACCTGATGAGTGTCTGTTTCAGTGGGGCAGGCTCAGTGAGCACCATCACAGGGATAGCCAGGTTAAAGAAACAGTTTTTGAAGGACTCAAAATCATAGCCTCCAACCACCTTGATCAACTCGAGGGCCACCTGAATAAATCAAAAATAATAAAAGGCAAATATATTGATATAATATTGAAAAATGTATTTGGTTTCAACAATGAAACCACACTTATCAGCATTTATTTACGTTGACATCATAATACTGTCCATCCATCCATCTCCAACAGGCACAAGGTAGTCAGGACATATGTACATATTATATATGTATATCCATATGTAACCTATATATCCTAGAAATAAGTGTCACATTTCTTGTGTTTTCTTATTTCACAAATTACATTTTTTTTATATAGGTGTTTTAAAACAATGACAGCAACTTAAACCATCACTATGGCAACATTTAAAACATCTCTCACCAGTCCAGCCACAGCAGCTGTTGCTGTGGCGATAGCGGGGATGATCTTGCCAGCGATGCGTTTGGTCTTGAGTCTGTCCGCGGGCTCGATGGCGTACATCCTGGCTCTCAGAGCAGATGCTGAGGTGACAAAGTCCACATGGCCGTTGCGGTCATCGTCCTTTTCAAACAGCAGTGGACTCACCTGTAGCCTCTCTGGAAGCACAGACAGTATCAGCTGTTAGAGGTGGGGTTACAGTGATTGTAATATAGGCATGCAAACGTAAAGGTCACCTATAATGCAAAATCCACTTTTTCATGTCTTTTATACATAAACATGTGTCCCCTCTTTGTAAAGAGATTCTGAAAGTTTCAGGAAGAAACAAAACCCTCTCTTTTTGTCCTGATCCATTTACAAAAAATCCTGTCTGAAAAAGAGCTGATCAGATTTTGGCCACTTTATGATGTCATAACGTTTTTTTGGGTTGTGTAACCATTAGCCAACAACCAACCAAGGTAACACCCCCCCCCCCACCTTATCACCTGAATCTCCTCCTAGAGCACCATTGTGTGTTTTTTAACCAGATACCTTGCAGAGTATAATAGGGGACCTTTAATAGAATTGGAAAATAGAGAGCCTGGCTCCTAACTATTCACAACGATGTATAGGATATTACTTAATACCACTCCAAGATACACATTAAAAATGTATCTCAACATCAGTGTCCATTGACAAATATTGGTATTTATTTAATTGTGAACCTGCTGTGACGTTGTCCGTAGCGATGGCCTGCTCCAGCTGTGCGATGGCCTCCCTCTCCTCCTCACTGCTTAGAGGCATCTTCATGGAATCAGGCTTCTTCGCCGACTCATCTGTCTCTATACACTGGAAGGGACAGAAAACAAGAACACTAGATTAGGATATTTTATGCTCAGACAGAATCAAAAAAACTTATAAATGGAGAAGCGTACTTTCTGTGAAGGCATGTACTCGGGAATCTTTACTCCTGAGAGAATCCTGGTCACCGCCTCTTCAGAGATATTCTAAAAAGATAATTATGAAAAGTTTAGTCAGTCAGTGTGTGTTTTTGAGTGAGTAAATGTGTGAGTGTATGCAACCTACCGCTTCTGAGTAAGGGATGTTATAAATCCCTGCGAAGAGCCGGGCAGTGCTGACAATGAAGGTGAAGTGCCTAAGGGGGACGGAGGAGGTTTGGGAAAGCTTAGATAGGAAACATCCATTAAAGGAAAGGCTTAACCTGTAACATTAGAGCATACTCACAAAGAGTCTTTCAAGTCAAAATCAAAAGGTGCTGGAGGTCTTTTTGGGGACTGCCAAAACAGACCTAGGATAAAAAAAGAAAAGAAAAATGGTATTGTTTTGATGCAGATAAAATTATTTTGGTAAATTGAATAATACACAATTGTTTGAGAAAACATACTTCCATCTTTTAACCTCGTGTCCAGCGGGAAAGAGTGCAACAGTTGTAGGGCCTGCATGAGAACAAAATGAGTAGCATGTAATCACATGCAGATGATATTGTGTAGCTTCCAACATATATACATAAAGCAAATCAAATGTTTAAGTATTTTAAGGAGGATACTCGTTACCTTTCTCTTGAAATACTTTTCAAACTTCAGTCGGGCATTAACGACGCACTGGTCCCACTGGCTGGGCCGTTTGCTCAGCAGTTTAACGACCTGGAAGGCCCCCTCCAGACTTTCTCCCACCTGCATCTTCTACACAAATAAACACAATCTTTTCAAACCAACTATTACATTGCTGGCCAAGATCAACACTAATGTTTCTTATAATAAGTCGAAGAAACACTTATGACATAAAAGTCTTACCTGTAGCACCGCGTCAGCCGAGGAGTGGGTCTGCCAAAATGAGTTGTACATGGAGGGCTTGTGGACAAACAAGTTCTCAAACTAGACAAGAGCAAGGGAGACATTTAAAAAATTAGGACAGCACAGTTATACAAATGATAACAAGCACTTTTTGGGTTTCAAGCAGACTGACCTTGTCTCTGGCCCACTGAATAGTGTGCTCTATGACAGAAGGGAAAGACTTGAGAGTGCAGAATGGGATCTCCTCTTCTGGGGGGTCCCTCTGGGGAGCAAAGGAAAACATACATTTAGGAACATTGTAAAGACTTCACCCACATTTATAGGTTTTCATTTTTATAACTCAAAACATATTTTGCGAAGTTTACTTTGAGCATCCACACTACTCTGATATTTTCAAACCCCTAAAACAGAGACTTTTGAAAATGCTGCTGACATTTTTTGTTTAAAAACTCCCGGATTATGCTTTAGTCGAGCAGGGCATAAACCAATAGTTGTAACGATTTCACAAATATCAGGGTACATTAATGGTCATGTAATATGCGTTTTCAGGTGTGATGGTATGGAAAGAGATTATTCTGAAACTACGATTTGCGTCTTTGAATCATTTCTGATAATGGAGTGAGAGAAAACCCAAATATTAGTAGGTAGTCAATAGCATACACACTCACATGGCTGTTGTAGGACTCTGTCAAATTTGGCACGATGATTTCAGTGTGTCCTTTAGTTCCCATGGTGCCAGAATCCAGGAGAGGTTTCTGATTGGATAAACAGCGGCTGAAAACACAATCAATGCACAAAACACAATATCAGTTGTTGGCCCAAATAGTAAATATCAACTGAATGATTTAACGAGCATTAATTGTGTCATCTAAATATCTGCACCCACCTGTCTACATATCTCCGAGCCTCCACGTTGTCCAGCGCCGTGACCACCAGGTTCAGACGGGAGTAGAAGACGTCATTGTAGATGCTCTCAGTAGCAGGACACACCTTGTGGAGATGAGCGTCTACCTGCAGCTCCGGGTTGATCTCTTGAGTGGCTTCTGCTGCCGTGGTACTCTTCGGTTTCTGAGACACAGGGAGACAGAAAAAACAAGTTAATGTCTGTTTGGCAGAGGTGGGAAAAGTAATCAGATATTGTACTTGAGTAAAAGTAGAAGTACCAGAGTGTAGGAATACTCTGTTACAAGTTAAAGTCCTGCATTCAAAATGTTGCTCAAGTAAAAGTACAAAAGTATTGGTCTCTGAATAAACTTAAAGTACTAAAAGTAAAAGTACTCATTATGCAGATTGGTCCATTTCAGAATAATATATACGATATGTTTTGATTATAATGACTGATCCATTAATGTCTTTATTAAAAGCTGGTAAAGGTGACTTTGTATGCTGCAGGGTATGATTGTATTCCAAGTGTAACTAAAGTCTTATTTAAATGTTGATTATATTTCCCATTATTAATCCAAATCTGCAAAGTAACTAAAGGTATTACATAAATGCAGTGGAGTAAAAGTACACAATTTGCCTCTGAATTGTAGTGGAGTAGAAGTAAAAGTAGCATAACATTGAAATACTCAAGTCAAGTAGCAATTACCTCAAAATTGTACTTAAGTACAGTACTTGAGTAAATCTACTTAGTTACTTTCCACCACTGCTATTTGGTGCATGCGGTTGATTCGGATCGAGTTTCTCCTTCACTCTGACTGTAATTCGATAACTTTAGTATAATTATCTTCCCGTCTGATTCAATATTCTTTTCGATTTGTCTACAGAATACAGCTGCATAGCAGTAGAGACACAATTTCACATATTGCAAAGGTGAGGTGAAGGTGAGTAAATATTGAAATAGACGTTTACCTGTATATGATGTGGTCTGAAGAGAAACTGCCGATTGAGGTTGGACTTTTCTATAAGGTCTGGGTCTGTGATGAACACCTGAGAATTGACAGATAGAGTAAAAAGTCTTGCTAATTACATAAAGCTAAAATATTAAAATTCATAAAAAATACATTCACACAGAGTAGAGGAAATGCAGAAAGAACACCCACCTCCCCTGAGCTGTTGGCCAATCCCACCCCAAGCAGGGCGAAGTTTTTCAGCATTTCACAGCCAATGGCACCGCAGCCCACCTGGAAGAGACCACAGTGTCGTGTTAGGACATAAACCTTCAAATAAGTCAATATAAAAAGAGATGTTGCATGCACTGCAGAATCCTTACCATGAAGACCCTGAGCTTGTGCAGCTCTAGACACATCGATTCACCGATGCAAGCTCGTAGTCCATCATACCGATCGCCCCTTGGTAAAAACTCCTCAGCAGAAACAGACTGAAGTGGCCTGACAACCTCGATGGCATCGAGATAAAACTTAAGAGAGAAATAGAAAGACATGATATTCACACACAAAAATGTTGTAAAACCCTAAAACGAATGGTTTCATATGCTGTGTTACAATGGTAGATGGAGCTAATGCATTCATTAGCCTACAGTTTAAATGCGGTAACCTACCCACTGCTGCAGGGGTGCAAACTTCCCTGTGATGGCCTTAAGAACTTCTTGGCTGGCTAGACCTCCCACAGCTGCTGCTAACGGAGGAAGAGTTCCCCTCGCTGTTCTCGACAGACAGCGTACCAACTCAGTATTCACAGGAGCCTGGAACCAAAGAGGAAGAGGGGGAAAAGAGAAAGAGATGCATGCATTGGGTTGTCAAAGAGGGTTTGTGTGCATCTCTGCAGGTTCAATCAAATCAAAGCATGACGGACTGAAAAAAGAAAAAACACTCACTTTGTTCCTGAGAGTTTCATTCACTTCCTCGGTTAGCTTCAGTAAAACCTCAGCATCCTGTAAACACCTGATGGCATAAAGAGAAAAACTGCTCACAACGGGGTCACATCTCAACTTCACACACTGAAATCCAGACACGTGATATCCTCAGGGACGGTTGGACTACAAAGCAGAAGATACCATGTCAACAGTGAAAAGCAGGGAAATATTTTGTTTACCCAGTGTTGGGAAGTCTACTGTGCTGCTCCTGAAAGACGTCCAGAGCACACATGGCTGCATGGATCTGTAGTGGGGCCTGATGGGTAGATTAAAAAAAGACAAGGACTGTGAGGAAACAGCTTGGCTAAACAAAAAATAAATAAAAAGGGTTTGGTATCACGTATCAAGGTAAACATTTAGATATCAGTCATCACAGAAACATTAACTGCAACAGCCAGAAAAAAAGAATAACACAATTTAATAATGCATACTGACAAAGAAATGCAAAATAAGTACACACATGCTCTTTGGTTGGAGGTTGTGATGGCTCTATTTTTCTGAACGCTCAATGATAAGTAGCTAAAATCAAATTCAAGCTAAGCCTGCTCTGTAGGTAATGTTGCACAGTCAATGATGATCTTGCTGTGTGATGAGGAACAGCTTCAAGCGCTCACCTCTGGTTTACTGAAGTCTGGAGTCATGACCTGAGGATCACACAACTGCTTCTCCATCGTCTCCTGAAACACCCAAGTGGACAAATGAAGGGTCACATACACAAAAAAAGTGTTGATTTAGAAATGTACATGTTTTTTTGTTGACAACTTACAAATCTGAACGTCTTGGGGGTTTTCACCATAACAAAGAAACCCCCATGTGCATATGACTGCAGTTGGGATGTGTCCCCTATTGAAAAACTGTGAGGGGAAAGGACTAATACCACACACACACATTCAAACAATAGACAAACAAGGAGAGACATAAACAAAAGACAGAAATAGTTAGGTAAATGTATTATTTTGTACCTTCAAACTAAAATGATTGAACAGAATCTGCACTAGCAATAGTTCAAGAGTAATAGAGTACGTTATGAAGAGCAGCGCATTTGTTTTCACCTTGTCGATTAAAAATATGAACTCAAACCATATTCTAAATATGTTGATCTGTGGTGATAATCATCTTTCAGTTAAAAAGAATCTAATATACTGAACTTAATATTGTCAATGTAGAATTAATACCTGAAACTGGCCTTGCGGTGCCGTTGAGTTCCACCATGCCATGGACCTCTCTGAACACAACACTTTGGCCTGTCTGTATGCCGTGGGGTTGGTTGTCCATACAGGTCACCACCCCAGGATTATCCTGAAGGTTCCAAAATAAAAAGGAGATCAAATGTTATTTTGAGCAGGCACCGTCATTTTGGGCATCTTTATGTTACGCAAAAATCTGTCTCTTCGAACACACAAAGATGGAGCTCATTATCATATTTAATGAAACAAAATAAAATAAAGAAGAAGATGGATAGAGTACCTGTGTTATACTATGGATGAAAATCTCCTTGGGCTCCTCTCCTGTGGGATCTGACACCTCAAACTCATCTCCAAAATCACAAAACACCCGCACACAGATGCCGTATGCATCACAGCCGATGAACTGGAAAAGATACGGGCAAAAGGTTCATATGTGTGCGTGTTCCCCATGTGTAAGACATGGTTTAGCTAAAGCTCTGAACTATGGATAACCACTATATGGCTGTAGACTTACTCTGATAGGGGGTTGGTGTGAGTGGCAAAACTCATTGACTCTCTTCTGTAGACTCAATCTGGCTTCGCTGAGAATAACACACTGAAAGAGGAGGCAGAGCAGAAAAAAAGGGTTATTTGCAATCTAAAAAATAAATGACAATGAAAACATTTTTAGGTGGTTTAGTCAATCGACACAAACATAATTGCCCTGTTGTTTTCTTAATGATCATTAACCAAGATGTCCTGCTGTTCTTAATTTTGTATCATATTAAACAAAATATATTTTGGACTAAGCATGAGGTTATATATTTGGACATTTGAGACCCTTTTTAAAAAGAAAAGAAAACACACTAAAGATTTTAGAAACAAATATCTTACCTGATACTTTCCAAGGAAGCTGAGATCCGTGTTGTCGTCCAAAGCAGAGGAAGATGTGTCGACATGGACATAAGGGTTCAACTCTGCAACCCGAGGGCACACTGCCTCCACCCTGTGGTAGAAAAGTAAAAGAGGTTACATATGAATGTGAGAAAAAAAATATCAACAGAGGAATAGATAGAAGAGTTATCATATGGATGTGGATCCCAGGAAAAGTATGTACAGTGCCTCCGGAAAGTATTCATACCCCTTCACTTTTTTCACATTTTGTTATGTTACAGCCATATTTTAAAATTGATTAAATTCAATTGTTTTCTCAACATTCTAGACACAATACCCCATAATGACAAAGTGAAAAAAGTTTTTAAATAATTTTTGCAAATGAAGAAAAAAATAAAAAAACTCAAATATCACATAAACATAAGTATTCACACCCTTTATTCAATATGTTGTTGAAGCACCTTTGGCAGCAATTACATCCTCAAGTCTTCTTGAGTATGATGCTACACGCTTGGTACACCTATCTTTGAGCAGTTTCTCCCATTCTTCTTTGCAGATCGTCTCAAGCTCCATCAGGTTGGATGGGGAGCGTCGGTGCACAGCCATTTTCAGATCTCTCCAGAGATGTTCAATCCGGTTCAAGTCTGGGCTCTGGCTGGGCCACTCAAGGACATTCACATTCTTGTCCTGAAGCCACTCCTTTGTTATCGTGGCTGTGTGCTTAAGGTCGTTGTCCTGTTGAAAGGTGAACCTTCGCACCAGTCTGAGGTCCAGAGCACCTTGGAGCAGGTTTTCATCAAGGATCTCTCTGTACATTGCTGCATTCATCTTTCCCTTGATCTTGACTAGTCTCCCAGTTCCTGCCGCTGAAAAACATCCTCACACCAGGATGCTGCCACCACCATGCTTCACTGTAGGGATGGTGTTGGCCAGGTCTGGTTTCCTCCAGACATGATGCTTGGCATTCAGGCCAAAGAGATCCATTTTGGTTTCATCAGACCAGACAATTTGTTTTTCTCATGGTCTGAGAGTCCTCTAGGTGTACCATGTGGGCTTTCATGTGCCTTTTACTGAGGAGTGGCTTCCTTCTGGCCACTCTACCATAAAGGCCTGATTGGTGGAGTGCTGCACAGATGGTTGTCCTTCTGGAAGGTTCTCCCATCTCCACAGAGGAACACTGGAGCTCTGTCAGAGAGACCATCAGGTTCTTGGTCACCTCTCTGACTAAGGTCCTTCTCCCCCGATGTTCAGTTTGGTTTGGGCAGCCAGCTTTAGGAAGAGCCGTGGTGGTTTCAAACATCTTCCATTTGCAAATGATGGAGACCACTGTGCTCGTTGGGACCTTCAATGCTGCAGACATGTTTCTGTACCCTTCCCCAGAACTGTGCCTTGATACAATCCTGTCTCTGAGGTCTACAGACAATTCCTTGGACCTCATGACTTGGTTTGTGCTCTGATGTGCAACTGTGGGACCTCATATAGACAGGTGTGTTCCTTTCCAAGTCATGTCAAATCTATTTAATTTACCACAGGTGGACTCCAATCAAGTTATAGAAACATTTCAAGGATGATCAGTGGAAACGGGATGCACTTGAGCTCAATTTTCAGTGTCATAGCAAAGGGTGTGAATACTTATGTACATGTGATATTTCATTTGATTATTTTTAACACTTTTGCAAAAAATTCTTTAAAAACGTTTTCACTTTGTCATTATGGGGTATTGTGTCTAGAATGTTGAGAAAACAAATTAATTTAATCAATTTTGAAATATGGCTGTAACATAACAAAATGTGGAAAAAGTGAAGGGGTATGAATACTTTCCGGAGGCGCCGTATATGCTATATGAGATTGTGAGTAAAGTGAGAGGTTAAGATTAAGAATCCAGCGTTGTGTAGTACCTTCTCCTCTGGCTCAAAACATCCTCTTTGCGGATAAAGAAGTTGGAGCCCAGATCCACGGTTTCACACTGCTTTGTGTCATGAAGGGTGACTGCCTGTGCACAAAATAAATAAAAAAGATAATGCCACAAGAAAAAAATAACATTTCTTAAGATGCTACATATTGAAAAAATGATATAGTGTTGCTAGTGTTGCAGTATTGGACAACCATAATGGTGAACGAGATCGCATACCTTCACACCGGCCAGGACAATATTCTTTGCTGTGAAACCAAAAGGGAAATTGCTTAGTGTCAAACCACAATTGGCGATTTAGGTAATGTGAATACTTTGGCATTGAATATCTTTACAGTGCTGTTGTGCAATATGTTATCATTTAGCATACCTATCTCAATCCCCAGTCCACCCATTCCACTGAGAAAGACGGAGGACTGGGCCATCTGGTGCATAGCACTGTCTCCCAGCACATAGCGCTGGCGGCTGGACGGAGAGAAGGAAGGAAGAGGAAGTGTGAGGACAAGTGATAAGAGAGACCAAGAGGAGCAATTCAAAATAGCCCTTTTCTAACTTTAAAATGCTTTTTAGGAACATTCTCACTTGCTGATCATTGAATTGATTGATGATTGCAAAGTTTTATATGTAACCTGTGTTGTGTTTAAATACATGATACAATGTATTCCTAAACATTTCTCTACAGTAGAGGTATAAAAAGTATTATTAAGTGCAAGTCATTTATTTTCCAATGGAAATTCATGAGAGGTACCAGGTAGCCTATATTATGCATCGTTTAAGGGAACCTGACCTTGGTTGAAACAAACCTGAAAACCTCTGGCATAAAGCAATGCCAGATATTCCTTGTCTTGAACAATCTGTATCTGAAGTGTAAGGGAAATAATGTAAATAGACTTACCTGTAAAGAGAGTCGTCAATCTCCATCGAGTCTGCAGCCATACTGGGAGGGGAAGAGGGGGGAATTCAACTGTCTGAGATAAAAACTCCACCTTATACAAATATAAAAGTACAAACCGTGATTATTAAAGATAAAAAACGTTTTGGTGGTTATCGTTTTTAATCTAAAACCAACGCCCTGTTGAGGGTTAGCTAACTGGCTACATTACCCTCAATGTGGCTAACAGTCAGCAATGTGGTTGACCTGACAACTGTCAAAAGGTTAAGTGTCTGTCTTGATCCAATAAAGTGAGGTATGCTAACAATCACATACCACAACAGTAAGCTACCGTAATACAAACGCTGGCTGATGTGTGAAGCTGCTGAGTAGAGCTCAGTGTTAGCAGCTACAGCTAGCTAGCTCTGAGTGCCACTGCTGCCTGGAGCCGGTGGCGAAGACACTTATCTTAAACTCGTTAAAAGTGATGACACATACGTTAGGCTACGAATAAATCCGCAGGGTAGACAGATATGTTAAGTGTTTCTATTCTACACATTTATATTAAAAATGCGTTTTGAATATTGTCACAAATTACACCAATTATTAGACGTAGCTACCTGTCAGTATGCGCGACAAGCTAGGGCGAATGAATGGTTGTGACTGGTTAAAAAACTTGGAGTGGTTCCGGGTTACCGTAATCACATGACCAAGGCCATCCAATAGGTTCACAGTGTTTTTCAGGACTACATGTAAGGGTAAGCACATAGGGTAAGCACCATAAAAACCACCTAAATGTCAATTTAAAAGACTTTTCTATATAAGTATTTTATAAATATAGCATTTGTGAAATATTAAATATGGATTTTTGCATTTTCAAAACTCAATAAATCAGCAAGTCATCACTGGATTTTCATAATAATGTGACATTTTGTCAACGTTCCACATTTTTGCCCATTTTTTTCTTCTTAAAACGATTGTTGTTACTAAACTTTATCTTCCGTACAAAATTATGTATAAGTTTGTATGTATTGTATGATATTACTACATGACAATTAAAAATGTTTGAAAATACATCAGCAGGAAAACTACTTTCACATGTTCGATCATTAGCTCCAAACAATATTACCCAGTTATTAATCTGTCTCTCTTTTTTATGATGATACAGACAAAGACCTCTTCTCATCTTATTTGGACAATATTATATTGTATATTATTCACAAAACTCCTTGGTCAGCAATCAAACCATTATTTATTTGTAATGTATTAATTCATAAATGTATTTATGTATTTGAATGAAAGTCAGCTCCAATTGAAAAGTAAAGACAAAATGCAAAATATATTTCAGCCAGAGACAGAACTAAAATAACTCTACTGTTCAAAGAAACAAAGTTCAGCAGCAGAGTGAACCATTTACATCCTACTGTCTCCCATTCTGGGGGTTGATTTCAAGAAACAACTCTATGCTCTTCGGGATCTACTGTCTTTGTAAATGTGTGTGTTGTGTCTGCTAAATGTGTGTGTGTGGTGGGTGAGATCAAGAGGAACATTTTTATTTATAAATGTGTTTTAAATTCTGTTATGCCTGAAGTGAAATGACCTATTTCCACTTAAACCAGACTCAGCTCAAAGATTTGACTCAGTGATTTTGTGTTTAGTTTGTGACAGACAGTGTTCTTCAACTTCAGAATTTAGAGACACACTCCCTCTTATCATATTGGTTGAATACACAGACAGGAACCTCCCCCTGAACTAGAGCCAAATGATACACACAACAGGCTCTGCTCTCCAAAGCACCACTGTCATCTCTCAGACACCTGCCCACAGATTCACTCTCATCTTGCAATGTGGTGCAGTCGTATGGCACTGCGTCGGCTCCAGCAGGTTGCTGTTACTCCTTTGAATATGGCTGGAGGTCTAACAAGCAACGTGCAGAGGGAGATGTCAACCCTGCCACGGGTGTATATCACCCGACAGATCCCACCCGAGGGCCTGAAGATCCTCCGTGAATCTGGACAGTGAGTACTGGTGACCTGTTAACCACTTTAAATCAATGTTTTTATTATAGAATATTGTATATGACAAAGTAATTGTGTATTGTAGCTGATTTGACTGTGATACTTGCTAATGCTCTGCTTTGTAAAGTTCATCATTTACTTTGAGTAAACAGGACTGCTAATGTTTGACCTAAGGTTAGTCAGATAAGACTGGTTGCCTGAAGGGTATTCCCCTGCAGCAGAGTTAAAGAAATGTGTCTCTATCATTTACAGTATATGTGATATAGCTTGAGAACTGTAACTGAAGCTTCAGCAACTAATTACTTTTTGCAACAACAACAAAAAACATTCATTTGATTTGTATAATCAGTCATGGTTTCTGTTTTCCTAGGGTGCAGTTTGAGCTGTGGGACTCCGATGATGTCCCCGTGCCCAGGAAGGAGCTGCTGCAGAAGGTCAAAGGTGTCGATGGTCTGGTCTGCGTGCTGACGGAGAAGATCGATACAGAGTTGTTGGATGCTGCAGGTCTGAGGACAGTCTGAACACAATTAGCATATTTACATGTGTTCATGTGTGTAAATGATTGGTGTGCTCTTGCAGGTCCAAACCTGAAGGTTCTCAGTACTATGTCAGTGGGTTTTGACCATCTCTCCTTGGAGGAGCTGAAAAAAAGGTGATTCTTCTCTTTCTTAAAAAATCTTGAGGCTGCATTTGACAATACTACTGGTCAGTGCAATTATTGGTGCATGTGTTTGGGAAGTAGTGAGCATAGGTCAGGATAAATAAGACCTGTGTAAAATTGCTAGATGTGTTTGAGTGTTTGTAAATTGATGTTCTGACATAGTAGATGGAGCCTACATTAAGTTTAATTCAATTTCTCGATTCCAATGGAAAAAACACTTTAAAACTTGTGTCTGCCAACCCCTTGTGACATACGTGTATAACATTGTGTGTCGTTTGTGTGTGTTGCCCTTTCCCCAGAGGGATCCGTGTGGGTTACACCCCTGATGTTCTGACAGACTCAGTGGCTGAGCTGACGGTGGCTCTGCTGCTCACCACCTCCAGGAGGCTCATCGAGGCCACACATGAAGCCAAAACGTAATGTTGCATGCATACTCACACACCCCAAATGTATCCATGTATACATCAACAAAACTTTTTCAAGGGTCAGAGGTCAAAGTCTCTCTCTCTTGTGTCAGTGGTGGCTGGGGCACATGGAGAACTCTGTGGCTGTGTGGACACGAGCTGGCCGGCAGCACTGTGGGTATCCTGGGTCTGGGGAGGATTGGTGAGCATGCAGTATATAAAACACCACACACAACATGCCCATCATTTTGTCATCAAACCCACATTTGCATAAATGCCGTTTGTGCTCTAAGGTGTGGCTATCGCCGAGCGTCTGGCGCCTTTCAAAGTAAAGAAATTCATCTACGCAGACGTGGCCCCGAGGCCTGAGCTGGCCAGTGTCATCAATGCAGAATATGGTAAGCATTATAGATTTGTGGATACTAAAATATCCTATGCCAGCATGTTATTTTGCTATAAAGAATGCACAATAGAAACACTGTCAACAAGTTGGATTGTGAAGGCTTTAATAGCATTCTATTATGCTGGCTAGTCTAAGAGACCTCCTCTCACATGCTGATCTCAGAAATACTCATTATGCCTGTCTTTTGTAATTCATGAAATTAGACATTCAGGATTTTATTCTAATAACATCAATGGTACTTTCCCTGGGTCTAGTCTCTTTTGATGAGCTGGCCAAGCAGTCAGATTTCCTGTCTGTGTGCTGTGCTTTAACGCCGGAAACGAAGGAGATCTGCAACAAAGACCTCTTCTCCAAGATGAAAAACACCTCCATCTTTATCAACACAAGCAGGTACCCTTATCCTTCTTAAAAACATATAGTAACCTAATTAATATAACCTTATTTAGATGACATTCATCATTATTTTTAAGGTTCATCTTGTGTTTCTCTCTGTTAGACTTTGAAAAAAGACTGTGCTAATGTAATGACCAAAATACTGGATCCTTTCTTCTTCTTAATCTGACCAAGAGTACAGTCTCTTTGCTTTCCCTGTCTTTCTATAAACGTGGTTTCTATGTTGTGTCAGAGGGGGTGTGGTGAACCAGGAAGACCTGTATGAGGCTCTGTCCACTGGGCAGATAGCAGGAGCGGGGTTAGATGTTACTGTTCCTGAGCCCCTGCCCACCAGCCACCCACTGTTCACCCTCAAAAACTGTGGTAAGTCTCTCAGACTTATTAGTGCTTTAACTGCCTTAAAAATGGTTGGTTTTCAAGTGACACTATTTTTGCCAACTTATCACCACCACCACATTCTGACTTTCTATCATTTGTTTTCTTTCTCTCCTCCCACAGTGATTCTCCCACATATTGCTAGTGCCTCCTATGCGACCCGTAACAACATGTCCGCCCTGGCAGCGAACAACCTCCTGCTGGGTCTGCGGGGCGAGCCAATGATCAAAGAACTCAAACTGTGATAGGAAACTAAGTCCGCTCAAGCTACTTGACCATCAGTTTAACTCATGTGCTTAATTATTATTTAGGACAAACTAAAAACTATAAGTTTGTGATTGTATGCTTCTTTATTTGCTTCTGTTTAAATCTTCAGTCAACTGAACATTTAATGTTATATTAAAGACTATCTTACTCCTTTGTGCTGTCAGCTTGTACTTGTCAACTGCAACAAAACGGAATTTCATTGTTTTTTTATTCAGTCTATACAACAACTGAACATACTGTACATTCTTCATAGCGTTCAACAGTAAAGAGACAAACATTTAATCCTCTCATGGTTACACTGAAAAAAACACAGAAATACATCAGATTTGGCATATCAACAAAAGCCCAGCTTTTCAAGCTAGAGGGCATAAGGCAGTGACGTTCATTAACAATTTAGGCCTTTTATGTATTTTAACATTTTGGCATTTTAACACAGTAGTCCCTTTTACTGTTTATGCAGCAGCTAAAGAAGACAGCACCACAATAATCCTTAACTGGCAACTGTGTGGAAGTCATTTTGGTGGACTACATCTTTCCTTCACCCCTTACGACTCACAGCACATCCCTCCTTACAGAATGCAGGAGTGAACACAGATAAAAAGACAAGAGACTTAACCTTCAGGGATTATTTTAAATTCTGTTTCCAAGCTACAAGGACTTTGCTATTTGTTTCATGTCAACATTTACAGCGTGAATGGTAGGTCAGCTTGTGTTTACAGTGAGAAACATAATTTAAGGCAATTCATCTCTGAAGTGAAATGTCAAGGTGATCTCATGAATGTCAAATAGAATTGTCATTTTGTACGGGCTAACAGTGTATTGACTCTACAGTAAGATAAGATGCTGACTAGCACATTTAAGCAATGACAGTGTAGGTGACACAATACAGCAAGCAAAAAAAGGCTAAAAAAAAGGCCAATGGATTTTATAATTTATGAGCTGCACATTTAGATTACTTTCAGCATCTATGTACTTCAATCTCACGCTAAACCTTCATTTATTAAAAGTTGACATTAAAATACAGCTACATACAAAAAACAGCTATACCTCCCGAAATTAACTTGAAACAATTAACAGAGGACCATTTAAAGTTAATTTCTGAACTTTGCATTTCATATCCTAATGGTAGTATAAAGAGGAACACGCCCATTAGGGCTGGTAGAGTTAGACAGTCTCCATACAGCTCCGTTTTCACAAATACACATTCAAGTTAACATATTAGTTTTAAGAAAATAATGAATTGTCCAAGTACTTTTGTACAGATGCAACATTAGATGTAAAAAGACACATGTACAGAGCACGTATATAGTACAGTAGCAAACTTAAACACAATATTGAAATCTTCAGACATTTCTTGTCTCGCCTCAAGAGGAAAATGATGAAACCCATACAAAGTGCAATATTTACATTTCTAAAGCCCTTTCAACACGTGCTGGACCTCAGCAAACTGTTAACAGTTTGCATCAGACGGCTCTGCCTCTCAGCACTACTTCATTACCCTTTTTATAAACACACATACTGCAAACACAAAACAACAGCGTCCATGGAACCTTGTCTGATGTGAGGACGGTCAGTAAACTGACCACAGCCAGACGTTTTGTGGTCATTCTCAGTCAGTGAATGCCAGATTTTAAACCATTTAAAATGTCGACAAAAGTGCAACTCCTGCACATCATAACACAAAAGAAGGTGCAAAGACCAGTAAGGGCGGATTCGCTTACTGCCTCAAATGCCAAGATGGTGAGTGGACATTTCACTTCCTCATTGTTCCTCAAAAAGAAAAAATGCAATGTTGCTGAGCGTAAATTGGTTTAACAGAGCAATTCAATTATTTCCATTCTGCCAAAACTCAGACTTATGTGGAAGCTGACATATTCTCAACTTAAACTGAGCTCAGCCAGACTTATGATGATTGTGATTCAAAGGTGCTTGGACTGAAAGGCAACTACAGAGGTCAAACCGTTGACACTACATGGTGGTTGAGTATGCACAAACATCATTTCTCAGCTATTGATAAACTGTTCTTTTGGGTTTCTACCGTCCTGATCGATAATGTCAATCACATCAAATCTCCTCTCTTCATTAAATAAAACTATCTTGTTTAACAACAGGGTAAAAAAAATAGATTCAATGTTTTCGGTCAGTTAAACTTCCCAATTCACACGACTGAATCTGTACTAACAGGCCTTATATCTGACGCGTAAACGGATTCTGAATCAGTCTACATGATCTCTCTTGCACAGAACAAGGCCAAGTCACTATGCATGATTACAATGACTCCTCATTCTTGAGTGGGATGCCGCTACATGTTTTCCAAATGTGCAAAGAAAAATGTACAAATAAGAACACTTCTTTACATAAATGTGTTTTTAATGTTGGTGTTGCACAGCCGCCTCTCATCTGCAAACACTATTGCAGTGTGAGTGAGTCACATTTGCTTCCAAAAATGCACCACAAACTATACATGTTCAGCATTAAGGGGTCACCTCAACATATCTCAATTTCTTGGACCACTGTGTTGGATTTAGAGGCATCTAATGTTGAGTTTGCAGACCATTACGACTTTGTGTTGCTTCTGTGATACCAAGGGTTCACTCTCCTTGCTTGGATGTGTACTAATTAACAAGTAACATCGTCCATTTGGTCAAAAGTTAGGTTCCCAATAATCTCAGAACACAATATGGTTAGACAGCACCTGGAACCACTCGGCCTACTCTTTGTTTTCCAACTAGTGCGTTTGCGTCATCTGATTCAAGGTGCCACTTCAGCGTAAAACAAAACGGGTACTCTCTCCGAACCAACTTTGGTTTGACCGTTCTTAGCGTTTCTACTAACATGGCAGTGCAACATGGTGAATTCAGTCAAAGAGACCGGCTCCTAATGTAGATACGATTCTTAGTTCAGGGGATAATACACTAATCAAAACATAAATATAAATGTCATGGGCTGCATGTACTGACACTCTTCATGAAACACTTTCTACAGTCTGTACGTGTTTACAAGAACTTGAACATAATGTGGGTTTCTCCTTTCTTGCGGTCAGAAAAGTCTCAACATTATGGAGTCTTAAAAGTTGGCCAATTATAAATTCCAAATGTATTTAATCCTATCGACTGGCTCCGATTGAATGCAGTGTCCTCAGTCCTACAGCAGGCCATTGGACATGTTACTGTTCTGCCAGCGCAGACAGGTGGTCTTGCAGTGCTTGTATAGATGGGAGGACTGGCTGAAGCGCTTCCCACACTTGAGACATGCGTAGGGTTTCTCTCCTGTGTGCACACGGATGTGTTTCTTGCAGTCTGTCAGGGTGAGGAAGGTTTTGCAGCAGATCTTACAGGCGTATTTCCGCACTCCCTCGACCACCAAGACGTTATGCTCCGACAGAGCCTTCTTGCACTTGGACAGGACGTCTGCTGAAGCTCGGGTCAGCTGAGGGAGGAGGGAGGTGGGTCTGCCATTATTCATCTCATATCCCCCGCCCTCATTTAAAAGCAGAGGACTTGCCAGGCTGGAGGAGGAAGAGGCAGCATCCTGGAGAACACCACCTTCTTCTCCTCCCATACTGCTGGACATTTTCGGAGCGATGCGTCTGTAACCTGGATAATTAAGCGCAGTGGTACAAGCCCCCCCCGCTCCTCGGGACGGTCGCCCTAGGGAGTGAAGCCCAAGACTAGAGCGCTGGAAGTCCAGGCCAAACGGATCCACCCCTCCACGCCCCCCACCGGCACTTCCTCTGGGGTTCCCTAACCCATCATGCAGGGGACGGAGGAACAGAGAATCTGCTTGGAGGTTGTCTCCAAAACCGTTGCGACTTTCGCCCCCGAGTGGACCGCCCTTCAGAAGGGAGGAAGAGGCGGAGCTAGATGGCCCAGCTGCATCCTGTCTGAGCAGGAAGTGATGTGCTACTGCATCGCCAGTAGTTGTGTTGGGGAGGTCATCCTCTCTAGAAACCAACCCCGACCCGACACTTCCAAAAACTTTAGGGCTGAGGAAGCTAGAAATACTAAAACCAGTTTTTCCACCCAGTCCACTACTACACCCAAAATCTCCTCCCACTCCGCTGCCCCCTCCCATGCTGCTCTTGAGGAGCAGAGAGTCGGAGCTGGTGAGGGGTTCAGAGGTGAAGCTGCGGTCGCTGCTCTCTGGGCTCAGCTCCGCCTTCTCCTCCTGGCCGCCGGGCTCAGCCTGGGACGGCACGTCGCTCGTTTCATCAGTCGGCTCGGGCGAACTTAGCGGTTCCCGTTTAACCACCACCTGTGTGAAGCAAAAGAAGAGTTTCCTCACAGGCCAAAGCAGAGTGACATATTTTAGACAGCAGCCGAACTAGAGTAGCATGATTTCTTTATACATATGTAAAACGTCTGTTCGAGTGATTTAAGAAAGCTTTTCACATTCACTGTTGACTAAATATTTAACTAAACTGTGTAAGTTTGTCCTTTGATTTTCCTTGAGAACCAGTCATCTAATCTACTTGACACTGCTGTATTAATATTATAGTATAGCTGCAGACACTTTATTATATTCTAACTTGTTTTGGGTTCCCCTTTAAGACCAATGACACTCTCTGTTGATTTCAAATAGCATAACCTCGAGATATGCAATGTCAAATTCTTCTTTTTACTCCTGGGTAGTATGCATCCTTATATATAGAAATGTATATATTTTATCTCAAAAATATGCTCTTTTTATTTATGTCTTGAAAATTGCACTGTTGAGGAACCTGCGATCTAACTTTTTCATACATTGGATAATTACACCGTAGTTGTGTATATGTTGTTTTGTGTATTTAACAAACAAGATTTAGGATATAAATATAATGTTGTTGCATTAGGCCTAATAAGAATAACTTACTTTGTCACAACAACTGCAAATCAAGTCAACACTGACCTTCTGTTCCCGTTCTTCCTCCTCTTCCTCGGTCCCTGATTTGATCTTCACCCCTGCTCTGTTGACCTGGTGCTCGTGCTCTTCCATGTCCTCCTCCTTCCTCACCCCTCCCTGCATTTTCCCCAAGTCATCCCCCTCACAATGTCCACTGTCCGACTGGCTGGGCATTTGTGGATCATCTTGGGACACCCCTACTAGCCCGGTCATTTCCCCATCCAATTTGGATTCATCCCCCATCTTGTGGGAGTCCGGGGAGAAAAGCCCTCCTTCTTCTCGCTCTGCGTTCATCCCTTCTTCTCCTAACATCCCCAGGTTAGGCCCAGAGGGACGCTGCCTCTGCCTGGGCCTCTCCTCTGACAGGCCCAGGGCCATGGGGGGCTTGCGTTTGTGGAAGCGTCGGATTGGGAAGGAGGCCCTCTGTTCGCCCACTCTATTGCCAACTCCATTTCCAACTCTGTCCTCCTCCATCCCACCCAAAGCAGAACTTACTAAGCTCAGCCCAAGCTGCTGCAGGAGGAAAGAGCGCTGCAACTTTGACGTGGCAGCGTTTGCGAGGTTAGCATTAGCTGCTAAATCTGCTACCTGCTGCTGCTGCTGCTTCTGCTGCGGCTGCTGCTGCTGCTGCTGCTGCTGCCTGTGCCTCTGCTGCTCCTGCTGAGGGTGGTGATGGGCTGTTCTATCGGGTGTGGGGGACATGGGAAGGGTACGTGTGGTCAGGTAGTGTTTGCAGGCCTTTACTACATTGTTTAGGTGCAGATGTGAGGCTGCAAGCAGGATATCCATGACGTTACTCTCCCCCAACATCAGCGTTGAGGTGTACATCATGTCCACCAGAGCAGCGAAAGCTTCAGCTGTCACCACCTGCAAGTATAAAGGAAGTTACTTACTTACGAGTTTGGAGTCGGACTAACCTTGTTTTTATAATTTGAAGCTCATCAATTCCCATTATGGATTAGAATAACCCTCCATTCTCAAGAGTACAAACAGAAATGTAATTAATGCCTTCTTTAACACAATGTCATTCAGATTCTCACCTCGCTGTCCAGCTGGATCATGTTCATACTTGCATCTCCCTCTGCCACTGTAAACAGGGCTCTGAAGTGGGTGCTGCAGGCTGCCAGCACAGAGCGGTGGGCCTTAAAGTGTCTGCTGCCCACCACGATGACACAGTCGCACAGCTGACCGTGGACACGCTGATAGTTGAGCTGCTGGAAGATCTGATCAAAGTGACCTGGGAAATCCATGGCCCTAAAGACAGAGGCAGGTGAGGTTGAATATAGAGGAACGGGGAGAGGCAAATCATGTCTCTTGATTTGCAACATTCGTCGATCAACATAACAATAACAGCAGTTTATCGAAATTACTTAAATCTTTAGTCGACAAAAGAAATGCAAAAACAATTGCTGCTAAATCCTCAAATGTGTAGTTAAGTGATCACAAAAAAATGAGCTTTTTCCCCTCCTTATTCTCAGTTATTTTATGACCTAATGATCTCTGATTATTCGGGTTACTATCCACAAAATGAACTGATAATGAAAATGGGTTGTAGCTTTAGGGAGTGTTTATGATATAGTGGCCTGGTATCTACAGGATGGAGGGAAGTAACGTTGGAGCCAGATTTTGCCAGCTGTGTTTGAGGAAGTGATGATAAAGTTTTTAGCAAAAAAACAGAAGTCGTTATTCGTTGGTCTTTACAGATATAGAGGGCCTACAGCTATTACAATAATTATGTTAATTAACGTGCACTGAGGGCAATGTTTAACAGTGAACAGTTAAACATCCTTGCAGTTAATCAAAATGCTGTAAAATAACTTGTACTCTTGCTAGTGTTGATGTTTACGGGTGCTTATGGTGTGAGGTTAAAGTGACAAACACAATGACAACACAGCAGCTAACTTTACAGAGCATAGCTTCGGAGTGTAAATAGTAGTGTAATTAGCTTACGTTGGTTAAAGTTACTAGCTACACTAGCATATCATTCGCTATTGTTATGACGGCGAGCTAAGACAGACATGGAAGTTAACTAACATTACCTTGAATTTCCTGAAGCGTAGGAAACGTTAACAAGAAGCCGAAACGAGAGGCCCTGGCGAGGAAACACACAAGGCTAAAGTTAGCTGGCAGCTGACCAGCAAATTGCCTGCTAGCTACAACAGAAGCAGTAGCATATGGTCACCAGGCTGGACCGCTTGTCTGTATCGAAGCAGCTTTTTCTCCATCAAACACCGTTAGCTGGGATGCATTTCTGCTGCTACATCCCACCTCCCCTGCGGGGTCACAGTTTCCTCGCTTTGAATGGTTTAGCGGAGGCGAAAGCAGCCAGTGATGTGCGCTCTCTCTCTGACCGTGGGTCTGGTGCAGCTGGACCTGGCTGTCAGTGTCATCCACCGAGCGAAAGTCAGGTAATAACACAGCCGGTAATGAGACACATACTGACTGTCAATCACTATCAGGGTCCCAAATGCTTGTTATATTTTTTAATAATGTAATGCACTCAGACTGATTTTTCTAACCAGACTCACAGGGTGGCGCTGTACTGCCTATGACCTCGCCGAGGTGAAGAGCTGCCATAATAGGTTTTGCCACAAGATGTCGCTGTTGCAGCGTCGCAGCCTGCGTGTCCAAAGATCATATATGTGTCAAGATGGTCAATCTTTTACCCTATGATTTAAAAACATCTGCTAATTGTCTCCTAATCTATGTGGTTCAGTAGGGCTGGAAGAAGTACTGAGATATTTTTCTGACGTAAAAGTTGCAATTCAACAGTCAAGTGTTGTGTTAAGTAAGACTGTAGGTCCAATTACTTAAGTACTAATAATGCACAATACTGTATATGATGTCATTTAAAATTAAAATAAATCACCGAATGAATTATGTTCATAACTTCAATGTTGCTTCTGGTAAAAGTGGGTATTGTTTTTGTTTAACTACACATACTTTGGGCTGAACGAGGTTCTTGGTGAACACGGAAGTAAACAGGAGTGAATCCTCTTGCGTCAAACGCATGATAACAACTATGGCTGCCTCCTGCTCGTTGGTGTGTTGTGAAGAGGAGAGAGACTCCGACAAAGCTGTTATTGGTGACTGTCCTATATTTGTTGGTTGTTGAATCGAGTTAGAAGAATATTCTAGTTATAACCGTGCCACTAAATGCTGGGTTGTTCTTATCGTCTCTATTTTAAACACGCGTTTATATTGCACACGTGGGTGCTAGCACCAGAGCTAGATGTTAAAGAATAGTGTTGTGTTTGCTAGAGTGACTGCAAAAGCGTGCACAAGTAACATTTCACTGTAGTAACCACAGTAAAAAAATAAAAATCGTTATGAACTACTTTTATCTTGTTAGTTGCTGTTTGCATTAATGATCATCCCAAATGTGTTATGGTGCTATGAAACACATGTCTTGACAAGGTCCTCGTTATGTTTTTCCTTCTCATAGTTCGCTTTTCAAACGGCAACGTCCAAAATGCAGAACAACTGGGTTTCACGATGTATAAGAACGCAGATGAGACTAACCCCAGGAAAAAGAGCAGGCGGATAATGGTAAGAAAGATGAACTCTCAACCTTATTGATGTTTTCGTTTACTACTTAAAGTACTCACTGTTGCCTTTTTCCTGTCTAGGCTGCTGAATCAGACAGACTGTCCTATGTTGGAAATAACTTTGGAGCAGAGTCTTTGAAATGCAACAACCTTTGCAAGTATGTAAATGTCATTTATTGTGTCACATTGGCAAGTGTGAAGACAACTATAAAGTGTGATGCTTGGGTGTTTTTTCAGATATTATGTAGGAGTGTTAAACAAGGAGACCATGCAAATGGAGGTGCACTGTGCTGAGCTCTTCAACATGCAACCTGTTATACCAGGAGAGATTGAAGAGTATGCAAAAACCCAGGACCCCACTCAGACCTACAGAGATAAGGTACAACGATTTGTATAATAGAAGACTTAGCTCAGATAGGAATTAACTCTATGTAATAATCTTATCTTTAATTTCTCTCAAGGTTGACTCTTTAATAGAGGCGTTTGGCACCAACAAACAGAAGAGAGCTCTGAGCTCCCGCAGGCTCAATCAGGTGGGCAGTGATACTCTGCACCAAGCTGTGGCCAAGGCTGCCAACACCGTGATCGACCAGAAGGGTCTGGAAGGTAAGCTACATGGACCCATGAATATAGAAGTCAGTAGTATGACCAAATCATAAACTAGTCATTTGATCATGACAAGATCTCAAAGAGATGTTGGTTAATTCAGAAAATAAGCGTTGTTAACCCTAATGATCTAGTTGCTTGAGTAGTCTTCTGTTCCTGTGTGAATATCATCATTTTTTCTTCTCCACCCAGCTCTCCAACAGGAAGTGGCTGAGACAGAGGCCCAAGGAGACCTGGCTTTCCACCTGCCTCCTTGCAATGCAGGCGCTGACAGACCTGAGGACGTTTACCTATTTGATGATTGTATCCTTTATTCTGTGAATGCAAGAATTGTAGATGGTAGAACAGATCATATATTTGGAGGTACAAGCTGCAGCTGAGTTTGTTTGTTTGGGTCATCCTTAATTGATTTCCACAGTCCTGAGTCCAGTAGAGTTTGCATCTTTGGAGCAGGCTGGAACCAAGATGGCATCACTTACCCCTGAGGAGCTGAAGAAGTTGAGAGATGATGGAGGGTAGGGGGACAAAGAGTTCACGCTTGATTACTTTCTTTTTGAAGTTTAATGTTGTTTTTTTCCATCTACTAACTTTTGTTTGAACTTTCACTTTTTATTTAAGGTGCTTGTCTGTTGTGAAGCACCTGGAGAACCTGCCATCTGTTGGTGAAGCCAGAGATAAAATATCTCGATGTGCCTTTTACCTTTCTTTGCTCCTCAATCTGGCACGGCAGCGGAGCATCACCCGCAAGTGTGAGTTCGATTTTTGCCTTTTTTCAGAGTTAAAAGTGATCCTATGCATGTCTGGTTCACAAACTAATTGTTACTTCTGTTTACGTATACAGTCGGGCAGGAGGAAGGCTGTCCTCGCAACATTCAGAGCAAACTGTTTAGAACATTCACTGTGGAGAGTTTTAACAGTGGCAGGTATGATGGAACTTATGTCATGTTTTATATCTGCAAGGACTGATTTTTTTTTTTTTCTCTCTTGATGCACCATTTCAAACCAAGATGTATTTTTCTTTTCATAACACGAAACTGTCACTTAGACCATTCTTGTTGCACTGATTTTATTGAAAAAATAAAAAAGATTTCACTTTTTCAACCTCTATCATTCTTTTAGGGTCCAGAACGTTGTGTCATCATCAATGCGTTCCAAACTAGCAGCTTACTCCCTGGCCCTGCTGCTGCACATGAGTCACATGACCTGTGACATCACATTACTCCACCGTGACCTGGCAATCACCGAGGCCAGGTAAGGGGAAAAAAGGGAATAGCCTGTATTTGTATAAGAAACTGCATCATAAGAAAATGTGTTTTATTTTGTATGTGTAACTCCTTGTGATACAATGTGTAAGACAAGTGCATTAAATAAAATATTAATATAACTTAATGTTACCGTTTGTTTAATAACTGCCCGTATGAGGGGCATAAGCAGAACTCTGCAAGTATAATGGTAACAGATGTTTTTGTGTTTTCTTATAGGATGATTGACGTAGCAAAGTCAATGGGACTGACTCTAATTAAGTTGCCCCGGGTGAAGGCTGAGGAGGATGGGGTGCGAGACACAACCAGGCAGGCTGCTCTTGTTCTACCTCTGGTTAAATATGAGCAGTCCATGGAGAGACGGAAACGCAAGAAATTGCACTAAAGATCAAGAACACTTTGAAAAGAGAGGGAGGACAATAATAATTGGAAATGTCACAAACAATAACTGTTTATTTTGTAGACAAATAAAGTGGTGACCTCTTGAGTTGTACATGATATCTTTACTTATTGCTTACTGTGCAAGATACAAAAAAGCAGAGGAATGAGCTGTAAACAAATTCTAGATGACAGAAAACATCTAGCGTAGACAGTAAAAACAAATAGGCACAATTTTAGACAGCACATATTGCACACTGTTTATAATTTTTCCTTCTAAAACTGGCTTTTACCAGGCAAGTCTGTGTGGTTGTGTCACTGTGCAGTGTGTCGATGGTATCTAGAGGGAAAACGGGTCCCATCTCAGTGAATTTGATCAAGTCAAAGAAAGCTGATCACATTTGAAAAACATTGATGATATGATACAAAAACACAGACTCACCAGGAAACAGCCATGTGCAAGAGTCAGAAGCTTGAGTTTGGCTTTGTTTTTTCATCTTTGCATAAACACTCACACTATGACAACTCATTATCTAGCTACAATCGTTGATTGAATACAAAGTCAAACAAGGCACAGCTTTACTTTGCAGCATGGTTGAAGCTGGCATCTCTGAAACCTTTGACTACTGCTAGGATTTATAAAAATGTGCACTTCCCAAACAGTGAGTCTCAGAAGCAAACGGACAAAGTCTACAGCAGGTCTGCACATGAATATCAATGTTAAAGAACATAATTAAGTTAAAGCTTTGTATGGAAACAGTTGTTGGAAGATGATAATGCCTGAATGTGTTTTACTGCAACTTAATTTCAAGAGTCGACATGTGATGATGTATCAATGATAAATGCTCAAACACCAGTGCACTGGTGTTTGATCATTAAGTTATACAAATCTTCTTTCAGATTTACAAAATGTGGTGACACCTCAACGTACTGGAAGGGGGATTGCCCCTTAAGTGGTTATACTCGGAACATCTTCTTTACTAGACCTCAACAAGAGGGCGTCTTTTTGAAAAGGTCTTCTCTGAGGAGGCCAGCGTGCTTCAAATGTACAACAAACACAAGTCCATATTGGTTTCTAAGTGCTTTCACAGGATGGAGCAGAACATGCTGCCATTATGGCAACCACTTTCTACAGTGGCGCTGATCCTGGTCGTCATGGAAATTCCAAGTCTGGAGGGATATTGGGACGAGGAGAGACCAGAAGGGGAGCTGGCCAGTGGGCGAGGTGGAGGGTTTTCCAAAACCCAGGGAGGAGCAGATGTACAGCTACAAAATGCAGAAATAAAAAGTAAGAGGTGAATTTGACTTTTCCAGACAATACATTTATACCAAATCTGGAGCAGAGCAGATCTTAAACCAGCGATTATTACTTTTTAACCCCATTGTGGTCTGAAGCTTTGAACATAACATTGCCATACCACCTTTAAGATTATATGTAAACAGTTCCTAACCTAGACATTCAGTATTTACAGGGCAAAATGTGTTCTGTCCACCTGGCAAGTATAAGTCCAATTTTAACTTTTTGTAGCTCTGTTTTTGTACCTAACAAATCCTGCAGGGGTCTTTAGCTGGTAAATGCTTCACTACGCTCACCAGCTTGTTGTTTGTTCAGGCAATTTGGATGTGTGCAGGAGTTTTTAGGACTTTTGTAATTGAAAACCGCTGCCTTTGGCCCAAAATGACCCTTTGAGGACAATTTATGTAAACCAAAGCAGTAAAGAGGTGCTTAATATCTTTCTAAAGCTCAGTTAAGCAAAGGGGAGCTGCAGATCAAGGTGATATTTCACATCAATGTGACACAAATATCGTCTGACAGGAAAAAGAGGATAGACAACTACATCTGCGGGTCTAAATCTCTGGCACTTTCTGTTGCCTAGTTACCTGTGATTGTGCCTTAGAACACTGTTGTTGCGCAACACACAGTTCTCATTGGCAGCATCCATATGAAGAAGTTCCTTCTTGTTGCCAGGGTGGCCCTGGAACAAGACGTTGTCATGGACAACACCTTTTACTGGCCCTAGCACAGCCACTCCACAGCCCTGTGCTGGCTGGACACGGTTGCGCATCACCTAAAGATAAACATTTGAAAACCAATTGAAGGTAAATAAGTGATGTGTAAATATTTAATTAAGAAACTGTCAGAGTCTCAGTCCATCTCACCTTGATGTCAGCACCGCCCAAAACCTGGATCCCGTAACCCCGGTTTCCAACAACATCATTCTCCAAAATCTGCCCGTTGCCGCAGAAACTGACACCATGGCCACAGTTTTTATAGATGCCGTTACCACGAAGCTCCACTCTGCAGTCCTTCTCCACCGTAATACCACCTCGACCATTTTCAAGGATGCAGTTTGTAACCAGTCGGGTCAGCTGACTGCTCTGAAGCACAGCTATGCCAGTGCCACGGTTACCGTTTACCAGATTAGCAAAAACATTCAGGGGCTCACTGCTCTTCACGTACAGACCAACTGCTACAGAGAAATGGAAAGATGGAGAGAACATGAGAAACAGGAAGTGAGTAAACTTGACACTTGGTTAGGCTCAACAGGTCTATAAATACCTCCATTGTAGCTCATGCAGTTGCTCTCCACCAGGGCCACACTGATGGCACGGCGGGCAGAGTGGCGCTCGTCCTCACTGTCCAGATCACTCTCCCATGCAAACAGCTCCCCCTCCTCATTTAGGTTCTCCTGCCCTTCTCTCCTTTCTCCTTCTACCCCTCTCCTCTCCCCACTGCCTGCTTCTCCACCAATCCCTTCCTGTCCTGGCCAGTTGCCCTCCATGTTCTCTGGGTCTTTCCTGCAGAACACGGCCAGCCCGTACATACAGTTATGGGTGATGAAGTTTCCCAGCAGCTGAGGGAGACTGGACGACATCACCCACACACCACAGCCTTTGTTACCTGAAGAAAGAGGAGACATGAGGTGAGCTATTATGTCAAGGTACATTAATGATGCATCATCAGGCTGGATTTACTTACAGTAGACATGGTTTCCCTCAATAAGGCCGCGGCCTCTCTCTCCCACCACCACGCCGTCTGAGTAGCCATAACAGATGTAGTTGTTCTTAAGGATTGGGTCACCTCCTCTGCGGATGTCCACACCCCCCCACTGGTTTTCTTTGATGACATTCTCTGTAGTTAAAATATATGAAAATGCTTTAAATAACCACCAATGGTGTTTTTACTTGCTTTGGCTGGCACATAACATCTGAAATGGAATGAAGAACCAAATCGGTTTTCTTATGTGAAATGTAATCACCTGTTATCATGCCTCTGCCATTCTCGTTTATAGCAATCCCTGCTGCCTGGCCCTGGAAGATGTGATTCCCACTAAATCAGAGAAAGGGACAAGAGAATATGAGTTGTACAGGACAGAGTTCAGACTTTATGTAGTAGTCTATGCAGAAACACTAGGTTAGGCTTGATCGTTTATGTAAGCAACTGCACCCCTGGCATGAGGACTGCTTATACAACCATTTCTACAGCAAAATGCTAGGTTATGTATAGCAGCAAAATATAAATCGCTGCATTGCAGTAGTCCTAGAGATTGTGAAGTTGCATTATCAGGCCATATAATAGCAGAAGTGTAGCATTTGAAGGGAGAGCTAGTATGAATCCTATGAGAAACACCCACAAAATGGTAATAGCAGGGTCTATACATTCCTGTTAAAGTTATATGTTTGTGAAATCCCACCTACCTGACCACAGGATTACCGCTGAAGAGAATATACACGCCTGCTTCCTTGTTGTTATAGATCTGGTTGCTCCGAATTGAACCTTTCCCATTGCCAAGGACAACAACCCCTGAACGCAAACCACTATGTATTCTGTTGCACTGTGGAATGAAAGAAAGCAAGAGTCATTTAAAAGGACTGTAAAAACCAAGAGCTGTTTTGATGCATACCTTCTAATGTTAAAGTTAAATCATATGAGCACTGTTTATAAATGTCAACTCAGCATTCATGTTATTATACGGACACATCTTTGTTTGCAATAATCAGCTATCGATTATTTGACAGTATGCAAGCTCTAAAGTTGGTGATAAGATTTTTGTTGTCTAATGTGAGTATTAGTGTGTGTTCCTTTACTTCAAAAGAGCACCATAGGTTACCAGAATGATGGGGTTAGCCCCTTTTCGGATGTCCAGCCCCGCCTCCCCATTAGAATGGATGTTGTTTTCGGCGATGAGGCCCTGAGCAGAGAGGCGCAGGAAAATACCTGATGCTCGGCACTCACACACTTCATTTCTCAGCATCACTATCTGAAGGAGGTAAGAGAGAAAGACAGGTAGTTCAAGTAACACTTAAATAGGAAACTGCTGCTTAATTACTCATGATCTGAGCTACTTCCTTAACTTGATACTCAACTCAAAAAATGTATGCAGCCTGTAAAAGCCATTCAACTAATTACATTTAGATATGTTAAGATACATTCAAGAGATGTCTGGTTAGTCTAAAATACATAATGATAAATGTATTTACTGTTGAGTTCTGGATGCAGCGGACAGCATAGTTCAGCCCACGGAAAACATTGCCCTCCAGACGAGCTTGTCCGTAATTAGACACGTGCACGCCACCCTTCCCTTCCCTGAAGAGGCAGCGTCTGAGGAAACAGCCAAGGGTGGAGGCAGCCAACATCTGAGCCTCTGGGTCCCTGTCTAGTTCCTGCTGAAAGGTGAGGGGTTCAGGGGCCAAAGATGGTGGATCCGGGGAGGAGACAAGAGGCATAGAGCCATCTGGCCGGGGCCTGAGCAAATGGGATAGGCCATGATGGTCACAAGGGATTTTGTAATCCAATTTGAGTGTTTTTTTGGTGTTGTTTATTCCTCCTCCATCTTGATTCTCCTCCTCTCCCTCGCTGCGATCTCCATCACTCCAGCTTTCAATCACTGTGCCCTGACAGGCTGCGTCTACTCCATTCCTCCTCTGCCAGTCTTCTATGCTCACAAGCTCCTTTTTAACATTTGAACCTGGGGGTTGATTCCCACCAGTGGAACCAGGCAGAGGGCCACTGGGAGGGCTGTTACTCCCAGATACGCCACATGATGGGAACGTCCTGGCCAGGGCAACCAAATGTTTACAAGCCCAGTTCCTTTCGGACACTGGAGGACCTTCAACAGTCACAGAAGCTGTGTCACTACCCGAAAAGTCACAGCTGTCCATCAAACTGAGGACAACACCCAGCAAGTGAGCAGAGCTGCCTTGCGAGAAGGAGCAGAAGCGAGCCTGGCAGGATCCCGGGCCACGGACTTGCAACTGAGCCCCCTCAAAGTTGCAGTTATCTAGTTGGACGTGACCCCATGAGGTCTGAAGCAAAGCAAGGAGAGAAAGATGACTGGAGTGAGACAGATTCAGCAAGACAGAAAGAAAATAATTTGAAAGTGAGCAGACTAGGGTATTCTAATCAGAAATTTGAAACCCTCAGCATTCTTCCCACAGCGTGCTTAAACTCTAGATGTGAAATGTTTGTATCAAGAAACCAGCATGACAATCTGTTACCTACCTTGTAGACCACAGTGGAGAACCAGGGCGGCATGAACACCAGATTACACAGCCTGGCAGTAGGGCACTGCTGATCCATACACACCAGGAGAGCCACCTCACCCAATCGACCCAGTCCAACCAACTCCACAGGAACCTTCAGCACCAACTCAGCCTGCTCCTCATACACCCCTGGGTGGAGAACTACCCGGTCATATGGCCCCACCACCCCAAGGGCCCCTCGAAGGGTCTCAAACTCGCATCCGGAACCCACATGCCAAACCCTGCGGTCTTTTCGGCGGCGGAAAAAGTGGAGACAGGCAGAGGACTGGAGCTCTGGCCCATTTTGGGTCCAGGTGCGGGTGGACAGGGCGTGCTGCTTCAGGGCATCTCTCCAGGACGCGGGCTCCTGGTGGGGCTGACTGGGCCAGTTGGGATGACGGCACTCTGAGCAGCCTAAGCAGAGCTGTCTCCAGCGGGTGTTGTCTAGGGAGAAGATGAGCTCCCTCCAGGCTCGGCACACCTGGCAGCAGCGGCCCAGGTCAGGGAGCGGAAGATATGCCAAGATAACCCTCCACAGCTCCACGGGGAGGCTGCCCACCTCCATGGCAGCAGAGACACACACCGGCAGGGGAGCACCTTGAGAGGGGGGGAGCCTGGAAACAGACACACGCACACACACGCACGCGCAGTTAAGGCAACAGGAAACCGCTAGCGCCAACCGTTACACAACAACAATAAACAAAGGACCTTTAAAACATCACACACATGACTATTAGATGCTGCAGTGGCACGCTTTTACTGCATCTAGCTAAAGGTACATTTTAGCAGTAAAACCACAAATGAAGCAATCATTCTGTTAGTCGGTTATTTTTATTTACGTGACCAATGTTATAACGTAGGCCTGAAATAATAATGTTTAAGAGTTTGCTACGACCAATGACGGCTATCCAGCGAAGGAACTATTTTTTTCCGAGCCTTGCTTAACTAACGAGAGCCACAACATCAACAAGCATCGTATCCGTCACAAATGAAAGCCTTACCTTTACCAGTAGCCTATGCCATAGTAACGTGAATCAACACATGTTTGTTAAATGTTCGGTGCAGCTTTCCCGTCTTGCGTTAGCGTTACATGGCGGGTTATCCCTCACTGCTGCGAGAGTTCATAAAATCCATGATGTCTGCAGATCTGCGGCAGATGTGCCATCGAAATGGAGTTCAGACGTTTGCCTACAGTTTACGGCAAGAAGAAACAACTGCTCCATCTTCCGCTTCCCTGGAGTGGGCGTTAACCTTATGGACTGCTGCTAACGTTTTTATTATTTTATTCTACTTGATTCAAGAAAAATAAATATGGACATCCAACATTATATACACTCAAAAGATGACATTCGATTCGCGGTATAAAGGTAAATATAGGCTACAGAGTAAAAAGTACGACATTTAAATATAAAGAAAATAGTGATGACAACAAAAGGTAACATTAAGTAAAAATATTTATCAATTACACATTTGGTTTTGATTGCCTTCTTATTTTTTTATATTTTCAGTGGTGCCATATTGTTGTAATTCTAAGTGTAAAATGTTGATTAGAGTCAGTCCAGACTGTTAACGTTGTTGTTAACCACTTTAATCCTGTGATGGAGAGCGGGTAGTGCTCTAACTCCAGCTTTACCTGACAAATCCGGATAGGCCTACTACTACTAGTGTATTTTACAACATTCAAAGTCTAAATATCCCAATTTCTATAATGTATAGAGGCTGAGGCTAACCTCCCCACTCACTGTCAAAACAATATTAGCTAAATTGAAACATAAACCATTTATGACATATATGTGTCCATCCTCTCACTAGGCGTTCTTAGTGTATTGTTAAAAGTATTATCATTTAATTATAGCATTAAGAGTAAATTATGATACATAGGCCTATGCATATGATTTTCATTTTGAGTGCAATTGCTTTCTTACACTTTTCTTACATTCATTTTAATTTGAAACAACCTGAAACAATGACATACTATAAAAAACAAGAAACATCTTGGAATGTTTGCATCATTTTTAATCAAACAATTCTTCAATAATTGAATATGTATAAGTCTGTGCCTGTATTAAGCAACATACATGATCATCAAGAAACGTGTGATAATTGATTTGTAGTGTGATCTTGTAGTATTTTCTTCTGATAGGCTATATATTATATATTTACATGGAATCTGATTCTTGTGCTATCATTCATATGTGATAAAGCTTTAAGGACATACGTTTCCCTGCCTTTGTGCAAACTTCTTTGCACAAATTCTGTTTGCTGTACTATGTGTAGTTTATCAACAGACTACAATACAAGTTGTTTAAGTTAGTTACAGTGCTTTGTCACAGATATGAACTATGTTTCATGTGGAACCTATATGCTGCAGGTCTCCCTTGAAAAAGAGATCTATGATCTCAATGGGAGCATCTGGTTAAATAAAGGTTTGAAATGAAATGAAATGAAATATAAAAATAGATAGCAACAACATTTCTTGGTGTGTGAATACTATTTCAAAAAGGAAAACACACCAAATATGTATTGTTTTACAACTGTATAACTCAACCTATTCCTATGTTGAACCCATTTTAAAATGGTAAATAGTAGCCTACAAAAATTCTCATAAAAATATTAGATGTGAGATGTATCCTCTGAGAATGATTGTGGAAAAAGCCTTTTGCAATTTACATCGAATTTGCTGTTTATTTTGCTTTTCCTTCGATTTCAGGAGGCTCTGACACCGGCTGGTTGCAGCTTTGGCCTCATTCCCCAGTGGCATCCACCAAGCAGAATAACTGGAACCAGCTTCAAAGTAGGTTTTTTACTTGCAGCTGTAGCCAAAATGTTCAAAAGTTTAAAATAAATATTCCATTGCTCCCTATCACAAAACCATCATAATGTAAACCAGTTAGGGACAAACAAGATGACTCACAGAGCGCAAGATTGATGTTGAAGCTCAGGTTACTTATCATAAGCAGGTATTTTTTATTTAAATCATTTTTAATCAAATAATTCTTCAATAATTGAATATGTATAAGTCTGTGCCTTTATTAAGCAACATACATGATCATAAAGAAACGTGTGATAATTGATTTGTAGTGTGATCTTGTAGTATTTTCTTCTGATAGGCTATATATTATATTTACATAGAATCTGATTCTGGTGCTATCATTCATATGTGATAAAGCTTTTTTTTAAGGACATACGTTTCCCTGCCTTTGTGCAAACTTCTTTGCACAAATTCTGTTTGCTGTACTATGTGTAGTTTATCAACAGACTACAATACAAGTTGTTTAAATTGGTTACAGTGCTTTGTCACAGATATGAACTATATAAAAATAGATAGCAACAACATTTCTTGGTGTGTGAATAATATTTCGAAAAGGAAAACACACCAAATATGTATTGTTTTACAACTGTATAACTCAACCTATTCCTATGTTGAACCCATTTTAAAATGGTAAATAGTAGCCTACAACAATTCTCATAAAACTATTAGATGTGAGATGCATCCTCTGAGAATGATTGTGGAAAAAGCCTTTTGCAATTTACATCGAATTTGCTGTTTATTTTGCTTGTCCTTCGATTACAGGAGGCTCTGACACCGGCTGGTTGCAGCTTTGGCCTCATTCCCCAGTGGCATCCTCCAAGCAGAATAATTGGAGCCAGCTTCAAAGTAGGTTTTTTACTTGCAGCTGTAGCCAAAATGTTCAAAAGTCTAAAATAAATATTCCATTGCTCCCTATCACAAAACCATCATAATGTAAACCAGGTAGGGACAAACAAGATGACTCACAGAGCGCTAGATTGATGTTGAAGCTCAGGTTACTTATCATAAGCAGGTAAAAGTCACCAGGCAGGAGGAAACTACAGGCAATAAAATCCATAAAACTATCGGTTAGAGACAAAGGCGGGGAATGATGGGAAATGGGCTGGTATAAAAACTTCTAAGCCAATGACAGAATAGGGAACAGGTGTGCAGGAGGGCCTGGAAGTCAGGTGACAGTGAAAGGCGGGAACTCTGGGACTAACGCATTTAAACTGGGAGTGGCTGGATCTGAAATGCGAATCAGTGCCAGGCAATGATTCTCATTTCAGATTAACATCTAGTCTATGTTGTAACTGTTGTGACATGCTGAAGTCCTGTTTCACACAGGAAATATGCAAAACCTTGAAACTTTTTTTCTCTACAAGAATGGAACAGATTAAGAGCTCTATAGTGATGTTTATACAAGCAATCCCCCGGTTTCATAAATCCCCCCCTGCTCGAGGCAATGTACCATGAATTTGCCTGATTGTTGAAATTAAATAAAAATTCTAGGATTTTCAATTGAATTTAAAATCATATGAATTATACAAAATTTGCAAAATAATTGTCTTAGAAGTAAGTAAACTAGCAATACTTATTTATGTGGTAGATTAAGTAAGTAAACAATTTCTAGCTCAGAGCATATCACTCATGTATGACTTTATGATTCCATCTACTCATGTCATTGATGTCATTGTAGCTGGGTCAGAAACAACAATATTGAATTGATGTTGGCTCCTGATTAGGTGTGAGAAATGTTTTTCTTCAAAAATGATAACCTGAAAGACTGTTCAGCTTTGGGGTGAAATCACGCTATGTCAGCAATGCAGCAGCCTTTTGAGGAGTGAACTTCACACACCAAATGGTTACTGTCCTAAAGGTGTGGATTTTTTCCTTCCACTGAGAATTGTATCTGACTATGCAGGGACGCTGCCTCCATGAAACAAAAAACACTGTCTGAAATGTTGTTGTCCAGATTGTATATCAGAACTTTGTTATTATTACAAACTTGTATTATTTATTATGTCTACTGGTTATAATCTCTACCAATCTGATACGTGAAGCAATAGCAATTCTGGAAACAAGTTTGCAGACAGACACAACACTTTTCTGTCTGAACACATATACAGTTTACATTGTGCATTTTTAATTTCTTTCTAGTACAAATATTAACATTCATCCCCCCTGGCATTTCAAGTTTTTTATTGATTACAAACAAATAAGAAAATATACACTTGTGTCAGCATGCCTATTTCTTACTGTCACACAATAAATTGAAAAGTTGGGTAGAAGATCTAAGCACAATGTTTTGAGTACCTCAGCTGCCACACATGTTTCTTGGGCTCCATCAGTTCAGTCCATGATACCAATTTGAACTTTAGTGGTGATACAATTGTAACAAAATGGTTCTCTTTCCCTCTCCGCTAAATCTGTGAAGGTTTGTTCTTCAAGGTCTCTGCCTACAGTGGAAAAAATGTATATACAGTAAGCAATGTCATTTCACTTACACAAACACGGAATATGGAATTGGTGGCAGATAATGATTTGCTCACTATTAAAAGGACAATATGAAATTGCTGAATAAATTATTTATGACACATTTTGAAATTACATTTCATGACTTAAAATGCAATGTGTAACATATTACTATTGTTTGAAATAGTTGTGAAATGTTTTTATTTCCCAATTTTAAGTAAGTTATTATAAATTAGACTGGGACTTTTGCTTCAGTATTGTCAGGAAATGATCTGGCATCTCTTGTTACAACAAGACTCCCTTATAAACTGCATGATGACTAATGGTTAAATAGCTTCATTAAAAGTTACTTTTTCGAACAACCTCATGTTGCCCTGATCTGTGACTTATTATGAACAACACACACAATGAAGAACTTGGAAAACCACAACATAGCCAGAGTTTCCATTAAGTTGACTCTAAGGTCACAACATCCCCTATGTAGAAAGATGTGACTCAGACTGTGCAATCCTATGTTTTTCAAATCTTACACCACAACATGGAGAATTTCAATATATTGTTTTGTACAACCCATTCACAAAAATACAGTAATGCTAAACGTACCCTGTCGATTTCCTCTTGAGCACTCTTTTGACCCAAGGAGCATTGGGGTCCAGACAAATCTGCTGCCCATCCGTTTTAAGAGTGGCACTGCAGGACATCAGACAAATCAATATTTCTTGTAAGACTTTAAGAGATATTACAGACCATTACAGACATATTATGACATAGGTATCAAACGTTTTCACAATGGCTTACATAATCTCTATATCTTTGCAGTGGGGGCCTGCAGGATTCACCTCCACCCTTCCTATGTAACGTCCAATTGGCTTTTTCTCTTTGCTGACGCATCGACAATGCTTAATCCCTCCCCAATCCCCCAGACTGATACCTGACGTTGGGAGAGGTGAGAGAAGCATAAACATTTCTGGACAGAAACAGATTAAAGTGTACTGCTGGTGGCTAAATGCAGATCATAAACAGGTAGGCTACTTGTCATCGCAGAGTGCAACAAAAAATTCTTATTTGAACAGCAATTGAAAGATTAAACTCACCCTCAGAGATTATACCAAAAAAAGGCAGTGCCACGATAGTTATAATATACATATCTGCTCTGCTGTATCTGAAATCTGTGCCGAACAAACTAAACGCAGTGCACTGGTTCAGTTTGCAAGTCGCTGGATCGGACTGTGGAGATGTCTTCTCTGCGCAAGGCTGTTTATCTTTCCCATCTGTTCCTGATGTATCCAAGCATCTGGAAATACCCTGTTTTGATTTATAATCCCAGAAAGCCTTGCAACATCATTGAGCAACTTCACTGTTGAAATCATGAAAGCAGTGCTTCTCATAGTTTGGTCCGCGGACCACTGGTGGTCCATGAGCGCCCCCTAGTGGTCCGTGAGTATATTGGTAACATTTCACATTTTAAATAAATAAATACATTTAAGTTTTCCGCACTCTCGCGGGAATATCTCCAGCTTAAGTTTCACCTTGCATGATATAGCCCAGCGCAACACCTTCATCACACATGTTGCCACTTGTTTGTACCATTTTCAGGCGATTTGTAATCTGTTCTAGAAAAACGATGTGTTTTTGGATATTTGTGGAGTTCGGTGGTCCGCGAGTGTTTTTTTATTGGTTAAGTGGTCCTTGGTATGAAAAAGTTTGAGAAACACTGCATTAAAGTATGCCTCTCTTTTTTCTCTTCAGCCACGTTCCAACTTTCTCAGAAACCAAGTCGCGGCGGCTGTTATTGACTCTTTACATCCTTCAACCAAACTCCCTCAAATGACTTCTTCATCCGTCTACCTTACTGTTCCAACTTTCCATACCCTCTCTGCCTTCCCCTCCGACCTCGTCAACTGTATCAACCTCAATCTTCCCTTTTATCTTCAGATTTTGATCGATCATATACCAGCACTGTCACTGATCCTTTGATTCTCTCTCAAATCATTATTTTATATTGTTTTCTGTCTTCCTTTCACATGCCGGCCAGACCTGCTGTTTTTTCCATTCTGCCTGCATGGTTCCAATCCATGTTCTTTAGCTTTATAAACTGAATTATTGTCCTTGTTGCAACCAAATACAGATAATGGCTATAATATAATCAAAGACCAAGAATAACATGATTGTCCACTCATTCATAAATGGTATATTATTATGGTATATTTATATGTATGGTGTATATATGGTTTATATATTTATATGTTATATATATATATATATATATATATATATATATATATATGGTATGTATTGTATATATATATATGGTATATACAGTATGGTATATATATGGTATATAAATCCATATCATACAGTTTACCTTATATATATTTATATATATGGTATATAAATATATATGTAGGCTATATGGCATATAGGCTATATGGTATTTATGGAGTATATACTGTATATAGTATATATGGTGTATGTATATAATAATACAAAATAATTATTATAATATAGTGAGCATACAAAAATAAGGTTAACAGCCTTTTCACATTCACCTATAGCTTTCATATAGGGAAAGCTAGCTATGTCAGTCCTGATGATAAACTTGTCCTGGCACGATGGTAATTGTCAGAGAGACGCTGTAACACACATGGGGAATGTAAACCCCTGCAGGACTGCCCACCCAGACATTGATACCCCAACTCAAACTTTTGTTTGTGAGGGGAAAAAAGCAGTCAATCTCAAACCCCTCCTCCAGCTCTTTGTCAATCCAGAAACTTTGGCATTGCCTGAAATTCCCAGATGCTGTCTACCTTCTCAGGTTTCACTTCCTCATGTTCTATATTAACAATGTTTAACGTCGAAGCCTAGTTAAGCTGAAACTAATTCTTTTCTATCGTTCACACAGTGGAGCCGGCTCACACTAAAGTGGCACAGTAATGCTTATGCATACCTCGGCTTACCTCTCAGACACAAAGAAACAATTCAAAAAGGCAAACTGGGCGTTGACAAGTTTATGAATCATTTTCCCCCTTAAACTGTGGGGTTTTTTCTCCGGAAGTCTTTCCTTGTACGATGTGAGGGTCTAAGGACCGAGGGTGTCGTTTTCTCATACTGATATTCTGCACAAACTGTGCTGTTATATTTGCTGTAAAGTGTCCTTACTGTAAGGTAATTATTATATGTACAGCACTTTGGCTCAACCAAAAATCATTTTAAAAATGTGCTATATAAATAAAACTTAATTTGATTTGATTTGATTCCTGATTTTCCCAGCTCTTGTTTTCATCCTCGTTAAGTCAGTCTTGTGCATTCAGTATCAGTGTGTCGTGGTTTGTTTGTATGTGGCTATGTTTAGTTTAGGAAAAGCATGGGGATAGTGTTATCAGGCTGAATGCCTTTCAAAACCGAGTAACTTATCTCTAAATGTGCTGTAACAATATAATATACAATACTTTTATGTGTGCTTTGTTTTTGATGCAATGCAATACCAAAATAATTGTAACTAACAATACTGAAGAAGGCAATAAATGTCAAAGCATTGACTTCACAAGACTTCGAGCCTGTTTTCATGCCAGAGCAAAGCTGTAGTGCAATCGTAAAGCAAATATTTTCTAAAAGCTGATATTGATGAATTTTCGGCATTTTGTAAAAACACAAACACGTGATAAAATAAAGCTTAAATTACATTGCGTTGGAGCCATATATGTCTGTTCCAAATAGATGTTTTACTCACAAAAAGTACAAAAAACGTAACCCTTTAGTGGTGCTGTATAGAGGGTCAGGGGTTGTTAGCATTTTGTCCTCTTGAGAAGTTGAATATAAAATGTAATGACAATGCATCTAATATTTTTTATTTATTATGATTAAGATGATCATGGTGATGATGATTAATACTATAGTTATTGCAAATATAATAATAATAATTATTATTATTATTAATGATGATGATGTGCTGTGATCCTGATGCAGGGCCAATTTCTTTAGTCAAAAGTGAACACATTAAACATATTAAAGTGGTTTACTTGTCTAATGAAAGTTTTAGCTATGGTCAAGGGGAAATTCTTGAATGGCCAAACAAATCATGTCATAAAGGAAAATGTCATCATACTTCCTTTGTTATCCCCTAAAGCTACAGAACCTAGTTCCTCTTTACACTTTGTCTTCGGCTTTATTATGTACAATAAAACAGATAATGATAAAAATGCACATATCCTAAACACCGCTCTTCTCTCTCCACACTTTTGTCTACCATACGAATCCTCTCCCATTAACTCTTTGCTCCTAGCACCAGTGTAAATTGTAGTAAAAACCAAAACATAGAAAATCATCATATGTGTCTTAACTAATATTGGTCAGGTGCTGCCTGCACTTACCGTCCCACATGAACTGGCTTTAACCACAACGGGGTCAGCAGTAAATCAGTAACTTTCCAGTGAGGTTAATCACATGTTGATTAAATGTAATGTTACCATCTAGTTTCTATTTTTGTATGGTCTAAAATAAAGATGAACGGAAAAGGACATATATATAATATGTTTTAAATTAGATCATCGTCATTATTTCCATTTAAGTCCCATTTTTAAGTATGATTAAGAGGTGCTTTTACTTTACATGAGTATTTGTATTTTATGCAGCTTTATACTTTGAGTCTACTACATCTCAAGGCAAATGTTTTACTTTTCACCACAACGTTTATCGAACAGCTCTAACAATTGTTCTTACTCTGTTACTGTTGAGTGAAAACCATCTATCTTCCGACAAAATAAAGGAATAAATGTTGCTAAATGGTTCAGTAAATTCTCCTACTTCTTAGCCTAAATGTATTTATTTTTTTCAAACCTTAGATCTACTGTAAAACATAAAAGCTGAAAACTGTGCTGTTTGAGGATCTTTTAGCATATAATTGTTGTAAATTAAATTACCCAACAGTATATAAAGCAGTTAAAAATCTGCATAACCTTACATTTCCCCCCACAGTCAAATGCAACATACAAATTCATGATAAAACATTAAATATGTATAAGGGAAAGTTTTGAATGCAGGGCTTTATGTTACAAAGTATTTTAACATTGTGTCATTACTACTTGTACCTATAGGTAAAGGACCTACATACTACCACTGCATTTTAGCCTTTGTGACATTTATTTCAGTTCTTGATCATTAAAACATTATTTTAATAAAAAAGCTTTAAGAAATAATTTCAATGAAATTGTTATACTCTTTACAGACATTACATTGTCCCCTGTCAATCAGAAGGCATTATTAAATTGAGGCAATAATTCAAGAGTTAGTCGGGACAAACCGTAAAATTAATCCCACTTTTCACAAGTTTCCCCATACTTCCTTCTGCTCTGTGAAAGTGGCCGTAGTGACGTGCGGCAGATATGTTTGAGCCTGTTGAAATTGCGTCAGGCTTCAGTTCTACAACAGTTTTTGGCATATTGCAAGATGTTTCTTTAAGCATGAGCCAACTATGACCATTTTGATAAGTGTAATAATTGCCTTGCAGTAATGTTCTTATAATCACGTATGCATTTACATGGTTTAAAACAAATGTAAAGTTTATCTCTGTGATAACATGATTGTTCACTTATTATGTATAATCAACTTGTTTAGAAATAATTAGAAAACAAACTTAGAAATCAGACACCACATTTCTTTTATTCTATCCTTTTAAATACTGAAACATGCTTTAGGAGGAAGCATGTGTCATGGCAGTGCATGCAGTTTAGTGTTTAGAAATGGTTGTGTTTTAGTCCAGCTGTTGACCGCTGTACATCTAGTTGTACAAGTAATCTTCCTCATCAAAATAATTGTAATTCCTCTCCGGGCCATTTGAGATGACAAAGCTAGGTGTTACATTCATCAGCAAGTCATTTATGGATTTCATATAACTATTCATTTTATTACACGTGAATCACTTGTTGTTACAGTCAGTCTTAGTCTGAGCAGTGGTGCAACACACTGTTAACAGCCATGTCTAATTTACAAAGAATTTCTCTTAAGGACTCTTGTCACAATATACAATTTATAACATGCTTTTAGTCACTGTGTTTTTCCAAATGATAACTCTGTATTAGTGACAAATGCTGACCCATCATCCCCTCGAAAAAACACATCAGTTTGATCATGCTTGAGTGAAAATTTCCCAGTCTGCTGCCGATAGTCCCAGATTGCGCAACCTGCACTGAGGCGGGAAATGACTCATTTCCAGCCGAGTGCTTCCTTAATAAAAGGAGAGACTCTTCTCCTCAGCGCTATACATTCAAACCGCAGAGCGAGAAGGCTGAACAAGAAAAAGAAAAGGAGCGAAAGAACTACACAGAAGAACAATTCAACAGAATAAAAAGATCCTTCTTCACTTTTACCTTCAGACTTCATCAGACAGCTTTCTCAAAGACTTTCCAAATCTTTATTGTTAATTGTTGCAGAATTTATAAAAGGAAAAATGATGAGCAGCAGAGTCATTGTCACCTCTATTGTGGTGCTCCTCGCCTTCCTGGCCGCCAGTGAAGGTATGTTAAATGTAACTGTATTGAGCTTTGCTGTTATACAAGTCATTATTTTCTGTGTTGTATTTGAATTGTAATTGCTGTAAACATTCTGCAGCCTTCTTTTCCTCAATGCATTAAGTGCTGTGAACTCACCTATGACTCCTCTCTCCTAACAGGGATGAGTCTGAGAAGTCTGGGAGTGGAGCTGCACTGCCGCTGCATCAAGACAGAAAGCAAACGCATCGGCCGTCACATCGAGAGTGTTGAGCTGATTCCTGCCAACTCCCACTGTGAAGACACTGAGATCATGTAAGACTTCATTTCAAAGCCTGCACCCCATCTATATAGTGATAATGTTGATTCTTTAAGTTTTTGTAATTGACTTTACCAACCTGTTCTGAATGCATGTCTGTTTCTTGCTTGGTTCTGCAGTGCCACTCTGAAGAAGACAGGTCAAGAGGTTTGCCTGGACCCCAACGCTCCCTGGGTGAAGAAAGTGATTAACCGCATCATGGCCAAGTAAGTACAATTCAGTGATTCAGTACAAGGATACAATAGTCTACTTTTATGATGTGCCTGTGTAATGTAACGGAGTACCTTTTTTTGATGCACAAATTAACTTAATATATTTTTCTTTGTTCTGCAGTAAAAAACGCTAAACCGACTGGGAGAGATGGGCCAATGGCGCTTAAAGACAAATGAGAAGTTACCAAAAAGTATTTTTTGCCCTCAGTTACCTCCTTTCAACAGGAGAGTGCCTCTGAATGTCCTGATCAGGTGTTAAATGATGTAATGAAGGTAACTTCGTTACTATGGACTGACGGCTTTGGGCCCTTGTAATATTGCACATGTGGGTCTGCACATTATATAACAACTTATTTTTGCACAGTAATAATGTCACTCAGCACTTTAGTAGTGAACAGTTTGCACTTTATTAGTGTGATTTGCACAGTACAGTTTGGCATTGCATATTTGCACATTTTTATATAATTTATACTATTTATTGTGTAGTATTTATTAAATTATTAAACCGTATTAATTGGAATGTCGTCTGGCAGATGTTGGTCGGGTCCTCGGCATCACCTGAAAAGAGAGGGGAGTTAGCGAGAGCGCCGAAAGTGTTTATGATTGTGTAAGAATGACAGCGGTTGAGATTAATCATTGTGTGCAAATAATATGTTTAGTGTTATGACTGAAGCCAGTCTTCAGACATAGAGAGGGCGGTGAACATGTACAGAGAGGGGTGAACACCTACATGCTGGCTACTGTTCTCTTGTGGTGTTTTGATAAATAAAGTCACCATGGTTTGAAACTCTACCTCCTCTCGTGGTCGATTCTTTCACTGGAAATCCAGCCGCTAAAGGAATATTCCTTAAATGTATACATAATGAATTGGAAATAACTCATACAATTACCAATCCATCATGTAATATAGTCGATAATAACTGATGTAAACATGACAAATTGAAGGAAACGTGTTCTCTAAAACTTTAATTGATAATTCTACATTTGAAATGAAGTGTTTCACTTTAAGAAATGTTACATTTACTACATTAAATATGGTTTTAAGATACAGAAATAAATAATAATGTAATGTTCTATTAATACACAGCCTTTTTCACTTACTGGAAAAAATACTAAGAGTTTATCCAAAACTGTATTGCACTTCCTTATGGGACTGTCGTCAACATTACAAAGAAAGACCACATAATGCAGCTTGTGTCATAAACTCACTATATACTCACAGAGCCTAACCCTGACTTTATTCTCCTGTGGAATAATACAGCTAACAGTATAAATTTGTGCAGACTGTAATCAGACATCGTTTACATATTTGTGCTTTTGATTGCACCAATAAAGTCAGCCAGTCATTAAACTTAAGCTGTACCATAAATCACATGCTCTTAGACTCTAAGAGCATGTGATTTATGGTACAGCTTAAGTTTACTGACTTACTGGCTGACTTTATTTGTACACACAATGAACCTACCTTCAACATTACTGATGTTCTTTTAGTTGCCGTAAACATTATTGTTTCCTAGACTTAGAGGAAACAATAATGTTTACGGCAACTAAAAGAACATGAGTAATGTTGAAGGTAGGTTCATTGTGTGTACAAATAAAGTCAGCCAGTAAGTCAGTAAACTTAAGCTGTACCATACATCACATGCTCTAAGAGGAAACAATAATGTTTACGGCAACTAAAAGAACATGAGTAAGGTTGAGGGTAGTTTCATTGTGTGTATTTTCTCCATCCACATACCTGTTATCCTGTTGAGCCCCACGGACCCGCCGAAGGGGCCGAAACCACAACATCTGCAAGCAACAGTGTCTGAGGGCTTCTTAAGATTTAATAAACTATGAATGTTTCATATCCATGTAACGGGAAGAAACTCCGCTAACTGATGATATGAACCATTTTTAGCAACAAAAAAACACAAGACTAACGCTGAGCCTCTGAATTAGCCCTGAGCGAAAAAATGCTAACGCCGTTAGCACAGAACTCACGGTATAAAACCCTTATTACTTATCGCAAATGCACATCCAACCCATCGATTAGCATCGTGAGATTACACAGATTCGATAGGTATCAGTATCATCACTCCATGATCAAAACTCGGACATCACAACACGTGGCATTAGGTAGCAAACACGGCACATTTCTTACCTTAGCTGTTATTCTGATCAAAAGTTGTCTTCAATGGCATTAAAACGATAAAAACGCTGCTGAAGGTTAATCCATAGGTTAATCCAATGTGTCTGTGTCACTTTTAAATGATTTCTGATAATCCATCAGCAATAAACCTAGTTTTAAGTTTTCAGATTTCAGAGCGTAAGATAGGTTTCGCTTTGGGCAAACTGCGTGCGCATAGCCCCCACTTCTCAATGGTAATGTGTGTGTGTATGTGGAAATTCCCCTTCGATTCTATTGGCTCTAACGGTTCAAAAGAGATGTCAATCATCAAAATCGACCAATGGGTTCCAGAGAAACGGCAAAAACGCCCATTTCCACCCAAATCACCCCAGAGGTGGAGTTTATTTGGCTAAACCTCTCTAAAAAGGTCAAATGTCACTTGTTTTGCATCAATCTTGATACAGGGTACTTATTATATGTTGTACTACTCACCGTGGCATGTGCCTTGGCATTTGCAGGCAGTGGCAAGTACTTCCGGCATCTGCCACAGAGGCCACTACTCTGTGGCCTCTGTGGCAAGTACTTCCGGCATATGCCACAGATGCTACTACTTGCCGAGGCATCTGCTGCTGCTGAACGGGAGTTGCCACAAGATGCCAGAGTAAGAGAAGGTTTACGGTAGCTGCCACTCGCCTTCCGTGGCAAATGCTGCTATTTAAACCCGTATTTGCAGATGCCACTACTCCGTGGCATCTGTGGCAGGTACTTCCGGCATCTGCCACAGATGCCACTACTTGTTTGCTAATATTTCGTAATCTTAAATGCAGTTTCTAAAGCTTAGAAACGTAATTGTTGTTTCACTCATTCAGGTCCAAGGTGCAACTATTGCGTGCTGATTTAAAAGCCTATCCTAGGGCTACCTCTTGCAGCACCATCTCTACAGGTACATTAGCTGAACTGTAATACATGGCAGGCTGTTAGAGGCTTTACACATTGCAGCTATTATGATAATTTTGTTCAGTTAGGAAAAACCAGACACTTTCTTTATGTATAAAATGTACAGATTGTTCTCCCAGATTATAATTCAGATTATTTTTGTCATGAGCATTTTATTATTTAATTTCATATAAACCATTTCCAACTCTTTTGTTATCATAGACCTGGGCCAGAGGGACATGATTTGTTTGCATTTATGAGGATCCCTATCTAAATAACAGTAAACTAGAAGAGCAATTGAAAAAGAAAGAGTTGTTACTGGACTAGTTGCTAAGAAGCATTATTTTTTTTCTTATATTCGGGGCTCAAGGTTATAACTGTTTTCATGACTCTTAAGTCAACAAAGCACCAATAATCAAATATTTAAAGTCCACTAAATCACAAGTGATACAGTGTCATGCCATTCTTTTTTTTTCTGGAACAAAGACAACAGCAAAAAAACCTGGTATTTGCTTCATTATTGTCTTTACTTTATATTTGAAGATATTAACATAATTCCTTTCTGTCATTGACTTTACCAAAGTCTTTATATATTTTGTTGGAGGATGGCGGGACCTACGATTTTCATTTTCCATAAGCAATAGCTGTGCACATGATAATATAATCATTTTAATGTACTGGTTTAAACTGAACCTTTCACCCTTGATTGATTTCCATCATACATAATACACATAAGGATTATCTTATTTTAATGTTGGTATACTTGACAGTAAGTGTGCTTCTATTGTTTGTTTTATATATACATGTACTTGAAAAGACTGTAATTTCCTATTGTTACTGTTTTACTTTATGACAACTAGTGGTCATTTTCAGTTTTTTTCTCATGTCAGTGTTAATTTACTGAGTTTGTGATTTGTGACTTATTAATAAGGAAAACATCATCCTTAACATTTTCTAAATTTGAAAAAACTAAGTTAAAAATCTTGTTTTTCATGCCCCAAGAGCAATAAAAACACTTGGTAAAAAAATCCTGAGTGAGGCTTTCATAATTCATGCATGAAAGGGTTAAGAAAGAGAAATATATGTTTCTATTGGTTTTAGTATGATGGTTTATTATAGTGTATTCTTACGTATTCTGTATATTGTTTATTCTTTAGATACTCTGTAGATAAATATCTACTAATAATGTGTATATTGTTTCCCGTTTCTTTTTATTATTATTATTTTATGTTTCCTGTCCCTTTGCTGTAATGCAAAGATTTCCACATTTTAGATAAATAAAGTAAATACAACGTATCATATCAAAATCTGTTTATGGTAATTAGCAACACAATGATTTTATATTTGCATGCATGACATATAACCTTTTTACTGCCTTATATTTGACCTCCTCATTCTCTGTTTGATACAATTGAACTTTATTCTAGAACAGAATATAAATGAATTGAAAGAATAAACTAAACGTTATCATAATGTCTGCGTGGTACTCACGTAGGTTTAATTTATACAAATTGATACCTTGGCAATGTAAATGGTGGCCAGATTTGTGCTTTTCCTGTCATGATGGATAATTTAAAGGTAACCTTGTTCGCCAGTTTCGAAACCCAATAAAAGGGTTGGATAAAAAAACATGAATTGTGTCTTGCTTTTTTACTATACTGTCATGATTCTCTTAACGGAATAACATGGTTTGTTTAGATTCACTGATATCAATATCAAATAAGAATCATCTGAAGCATTTAAATAAAAATGTTCAACCAGAATTAAAATATTAAACAACAAAACAGATACAATGACATTAAAGGTGGGGTAGGTAAGTTTGAGAAACCGGCTCGAGATACACTTTTTGTTATATTCCATGGAATGCTCTTAACATCCCGATAGCAATGAATATCTTAAGTGCTTTGACAAAAATCCATAAAGAAATGTAATCTGTGGAAGCCGTAGTACTGTAAAAAGCACGACCAATCATTTTAGCCGGCCCGGCTAAAATAACTGGATGGCCTACCTGCCTGTCAGCCTTCCATCTGTGCACAAACTTATCTTGTGCCCTCATTGGTCATGTGCACGTTCGTATGTGTTGGAGGAGGGGCTCTGTAAGGAAGTGGCAGATTTTTTCCGGTTGTGTATTTTCAAATTCTAGCGCACTCGAGCTGGTTTCTCCAAAATTACCTACCCCACCTTTAATCTGTTTACAACGAAAATAATACAAATTAAGTACATATGCCTACATTTAAAATAACACATTTATACATGTGTACAATCAAATATAACTGTCCTTTGCCTCATTTATAAAGTATACATTTTAGCATCTCACTAGCAGTGGCAACTGCAATCAGTTACAGCTGCCCTAAGTCTGTAGCAAAGTCTAATAACACCAGTGTACACGTTACTGTGTCAATATAGATATTTATTTGTTAATTATTTGTCTTTACTAGTAATAATACACCTGGTTTATCGTAGCAAGCAGTGGAAACTCCCCTCAAGAAGCGACAATTGCCAAGGGCTTGCGTTGCAACCCTCACTTTCCAATATTTCTTTTTTATTACAATATATTTTTAGTAGCCTACTATCATAAATATAGCACGTTTGTTTATTTTAGCAAACCACGTACTCCAAGTAAAATTGAATAGAAACGATCATTTATAATCTTTTTGAAAAATAGAGATCGCACATCAGTCCTGTGTACAGATCAGTTCGATAAAGTCATGCCTAAACAGCGACATCTTACACGATAAATACGGGT